GATCAGCTGTTATTGTTATATTATAGAGCGTAGATTTTGATGATATGTAAATTAATCTAAACATGAGTATTTGATTCACAGGCTGATGCTAAAGAGAAAGATTGGTGGAAGAAGGCAGGCTCCATATACGAGTTTACTGTCAAAGACATAGATGGGAATGACGTTTCCCTTGAAAAATATAAGTAAGTACACGGTACAGTCAGTACTGTAGAGTGCATTTTATTTAGCATGTGGGTGTGTCAAGATAGATGGGAAGATTAATAGGTTTGGACGTTCATTGGTCCAAAGGTTTATTGGCTAAGGAATCATTGATTGAGACTCTTGCTAAATTGCAATCAGATTAACTGACTAACGTTCTCCCCATGTTTTCAACATTCTTGTGTAAACACCAGCTTTTCTGTATCTACTAAACGCATGGAGGGTGCATGTTAATCTTTTAATCAGATTGCATTCAGTGAGAGTCCCTGTAAAGTTAGTCTTAATTAAATTACCTAGTACGATAGCTTCATAGTGCACCTTGAGAGCTGTTAGACAATTGAACTCTTTGTATGTTGAATTTTCAGACCAGTGGAACTTTGGAACAATTTTGGTTTTTGGAAACTGACTCATCATTTGTCCTTTTTTTTCTGTGATCAATATTGGGTAAAAGTTAGTAGGAATAGTTAAGGTTCATGTATATTATACTTACAGGGACCATGTGGTTCTTATAGTTAATGTAGCCTCTCAGTGAGGTTTCACCGCGAAGAACTACACTCAGCTGCAAAGTCTGCATGCCAAATATGCTGAGTCAAAGGGTCTTCGCATCCTGGGGTTCCCCTGCAACCAGTTTGGTGGGCAGGTAAGGATGACAAACATGTCAAGTGATATTCAGTATTAATTGATATTGATAGGTATTGTATACATTCTGGAGATTATAATTGTGCTGTTTATTCTTGCTAATTTAATATAAACAAAATAGATTATAGTATGTAATTCTGATACATTAGGTGTAATTCTAATTAAATATTTTACATGTAGCTGATTAGAGAATGTGTCAATCATTATCTTCAGTTCTGTAATGAATCGGATTCTTTAATATATTATTGGCACTGAATGAATGTATCAGATATTTGGCAAATGATGATTTGAAATAAATTCTAATTCTTTCCTGTAATACTTTCCTTTATATAAGAAAAATTGAGAGTAACTTCTTTTTTTTTTTTCAAGGAACCAGGTACTGAAGCAGAGATCAAGAAGTTTGTTGAAAAATTTGACGTTCAGTTTGACATGTTTTCCAAGATCAAAGTAAATGGGGGTGATGCAGATCCACTCTGGAAGTATCTCAAGCACAAGCAAGGAGGAACTCTGATTGAGTATGAATGAAAAAAAAAACATTTAAATCTAAGACCCCATTCCCATAGATCGGAGCAACTCTTCTGTACTCCACTTACTGTTGGATATCTTTATAGACTGTTTGTGTCTTTGGGAATGGGACCTAATAGTAGGCTGTTTTTGTCGTGTGAAGTGGGTGAACTGTTTGCATTTGTGTGTGTTTTAATGAATAAAATTACATACATGTATGAAGTTGGTGGTAGAGTCCGTTGTTTGTTATGAGACATTTTTGGAGTTTCTGTGATACATCTGTTGTACATGTATGTTGGCTTTATTTGGCTTGTTAAAAGTTATATTTTAAATATTTTTACTTTTTTCAGTGCAATCAAGTGGAATTTTACCAAATTTCTAGTGGATAAGAAAGGCCAGCCAGTGAAAAGATATGCTCCTAACACAGAACCTTTTGTAAGTTATGATAAATAATGTGATCATTCACACAACTAAAGCCACTCGCATCATTATTGTTGATCAAGTTTTGGTTTTGAAAAGGAAGAGCTAATTTAGGTTGAAATTCAGTGATGTCAGTGAAGCTTTTAAATTGGTATGTTTTGTTTATGTTTAGAATATTGTTTTTATTTATATTTCTAAAATATAGTTTAAAACAGTTGGTTTAAATAGTGCATGTACATGTAGCTAGCATATGCTGGAATAGTGTTGGTGGGGTTTGTAGAGCACCTTCTGTAATATATGACTTTAAAATTTCAGACAGTGGAGAAAGATTTTGATGAATACTTTTAGAAAAAGATTCCAAAGAAGCCATCCATGACTTCCAGAGACTGAGTACCAAAAATATCATCCCATAATCAGTTTTTTTTCAATAAATGAAAAGAAACATTCATATTAAAAAAAAGAAGAAGAAAAAAAAAAACATTTTTATCCCAGTGGACAATCTTGAATTACGTCTCGAGGTTGACGTCATTGGAAGAGATATATGACGGCTACACCTGAAACCAGGTAATGGTGGGTTAGCCTGATGCTATGGCATGCAACTCCTCTGGCCAGTGACTGAGACAAAACAGATGTACTTTGACAGGGTCCACAAGGATTACTGACCTGCTCAATTGTATTGCATTGATAATTGTTTGTTCACACATTTTGTATTTTGTTATGCTATACTTACAGTGTATNATGGAGGGTGCATGTTAATCTTTTAATCAGATTGCATTCAGTGAGAGTCCCTGTAAAGTTAGTCTTAATTAAATTACCTAGTACGATAGCTTCATAGTGCACCTTGAGAGCTGTTAGACAATTGAACTCTTTGTATGTTGAATTTTCAGACCAGTGGAACTTTGGAACAATTTTGGTTTTTGGAAACTGACTCATCATTTGTCCTTTTTTTTCTGTGATCAATATTGGGTAAAAGTTAGTAGGAATAGTTAAGGTTCATGTATATTATACTTACAGGGACCATGTGGTTCTTATAGTTAATGTAGCCTCTCAATGAGGTTTCACCGCGAAGAACTACACTCAGCTGCAAAGTCTGCATGCCAAATATGCTGAGTCGAAGGGTCTTCGCATCCTGGGGTTCCCCTGCAACCAGTTTGGTGGGCAGGTAAGGATGACAAACATGTCAAGTGATATTCAGTATTAATTTATATTGATAGGTATTGTATACATTCTGGAGATTATAATTGTGCTGTTTATTCTTGCTAATTTAATATAAACAAAATAGATTATAGTATGTAATTCTGATACATTAGGTGTAATTCTAATTAAATATTTTACATGTAGTTGATTAGAGAATGTGTCAATAATTATCTTCAGTTCTGTAATGAATCAGATTCTGTTATATATTATCAGCACTGAAATGAATGGTTTTGCACAGGTCTTGAATAAATGTGATACATGTATCAGATATTTGGCAAATGATGATTTGAAATGAATTCTAATTCTTTCCTGTAATACTTTTCTTTATATAAGAAAAATTGAGAGTAACTTCTTTTTTTTTTTTTTATTTCAAGGAACCAGGTACTGAAGCAGAGATCAAGAAGTTTGTTGAAAAATTTGACGTTCAGTTTGACATGTTTTCCAAGATCAAAGTCAATGGGGGTGACGCAGATCCACTGTGGAAGTATCTCAAGCACAAACAAGGAGGAACTCTGATTGAGTATGAATACAAAAAAAAAAGCATTTAAATCTAAGAACCCATTCCCATAGATCGGAGCAACTCTTCTGTACTGCACTTACTGTTGGATATCTTTATAGACTGTTTGTGTCTTTGGGAATGGGACCTAATAGTAGGCTCTTTTTGTCGTGTGAAGTGGGTGAACTGTTTGCATTTGTGTGTGTTTTAATGAATAAAATTACATACATGTATGAAGTTGGTGGCATGGTCCGTTGTTTGTTATGAGACATTTTTGGAGTTTCTGTGATACATCTGTTGTATGTTGGCTTTATTTGGCTTGTTAAAAGTTATATTTTAAATATTTTTACTTTTTTCAGTGCAATCAAGTGGAATTTTACCAAATTTCTAGTGGATAAGAAAGGCCAGCCAGTGAAAAGATATGCTCCTAACACAGAACCTTTTGTAAGTTATGATAAATAATGTGATCATTCACACAACTAAAGCCACTCGCATCATTATTGTTGATCAAGTTTTGGTTTCGAAAAGGAAGAGCTAATTTAGGTTGAAATTCAGTGATGTCAGTGAAGCTTTTAAATTGGTAAGTTTTGTTTATGTTTAGAATATTGTTTTTATTTATATTTCTAAAATATAGTTTTAAGTAGTTGGTTTAGCTAGTGCTGAAACAGTGTTGTTGGGGTTTGTAGAGCACTTTCTGTGATATATGACTTTAAAATTTCAGACAGTGGAGAAAGATTTTGATGAATACTTTTAGAAAAAGATTCCAAAGAAGCCATCCATGACTTCCAGAGACTGAGTACCAAAAATATCATCCCATAATCATTTTTTTTTTTCAATAAATGAAAAGAAACATTTATATTAAAAAAAAAAGAAAAAAAACAGCAGTTTTATCCCAGTGGACAATCTTGAATTACGTCTTGAGGTTGACATCACTGGCAGAGATATATGACGGCTACACCTGAAACCAGGTAATGGTGGGTTAGCCTGATGCTATGGCATGCAACTCCTCTGGCCAGTGACTGAGACAAGACAGATGTACTTTGATATGGTCCACAAGGATGACGAATGTGCTCAATCCTATTGCATTGATAATTGTTTGATCAGACTTTTTGTATTTTGTTATGCTATATTTACACTTACAGTGTATATGTCATGCTTTAAAAAAAAGATACCAGCATTTAGATTAGACTTGATTTAAAGTATTTTATAAATAAATGGAAGATGAAACATTTCCCATCATAAAGCTTTCATTTAATAAAATTTATTTATTTATTTTTCATTAAAAAATTATTGCATAAACCTTCAGTTTTTATCTGTTCCCACTTTGTTTACTGTAATGAGGTGAATAAAATTAAAATTGTCTTAGTTGGTACCTGTCCATTTTGTTTTGTTTTTTAAATATCCAAAGAAAAACTTAGAAAGACCATGTACTAGTAAGTGATATTTGAAAAGTATGCAGAAACACAAATCTACATTATATTTTTTTGAATACAGCTACATGTATCATGTACAAGATTGAATAGATGTAAAATAATATAAATATATATAAGCTTGTTTGAGCTCATTAAATAAATGTTTACAAAATTTGTGTTTCTCTGTTTTACTTTCAATAGAAACATGTACCAATATGATGGGATGAAATGAGACTTCAGATATCCCAGGTTCTAGAAGTCTTGGCTCATGAACTGGCTGGATGTTGAAATGAGCAAGAGCATCTCCATGATATGAGGGTTTTTAAACCATTTAAATGGTCACTTTAAATGGCATTCTGTTTTTGTTCTGTCTATAGACACCATATCTGTTCGTTTTTTTGCATTTGTCAATGAGTCTCTGATAAAATGACAGAACCCTATAAAAGACCTTCAGATGCAAGGTGGCTTTCCTGCTAATGAGCCTTTTATATTTTAAATATGACAGAGGTCCTCAGGCCTGTAAACGACCATTTTAAAGGAGGGGGGGCTTTTTTCTTTTTTCTGAAAAGTGGTCCTTTTCAACCAATTATAATATATGTAGAAAGAGTTGTCCGAACATGAGAAATGACATAGAACCTTGATAAAATTTTGACTCTGAGTGGACCTTTTCTGACCAAAGGGGCAGTTCTTTTGAACAGATCCCCTTAAAACCCCTTCTAAATATACCTACAGGTTAGGTCCTGGTGCTAAACAACAAAACTTGATGACTCGTTAAAACCACATTTACATTCTGGAGTTCATGTACATTTGTACTACAAGTACACACAAATATAAATGTATATACAAGTAGATAGAGAGTAATTGGCTGATGCAAGCACTCATCAAGGTTTTGTTATCAGTACACGGGCCCATGAAAAGCAATTTCAAAGGGGGGCTCTTTTTCTGTGAAATCTTTATGAGCCTAGAACAAATTTTACCCCGAAAAGACCTTTTCCTGGGAATAAATATGGTTCATTCGAACATCCCCCTCCCAGGCGATGCGGGCCTGTTACATATACTCTTAATATCTCCTGCCTCTTTCCTTCAGCCACATTTATTGCAAGGATTTCTTAAAATTGGATGTAGTTATGAACCACTTTCTGTCTCTTCCTTGTCCTCATCTGTACTTGTACTTTTGATAAGGTGTTTAGGTAATACCTCCCCTGTGTGTGCTATAGTAGCCCAGTTCCTGAAACCTGCCACCCCTTTTTCTTCCACCTCTGCCCGTCCTCTCTCTGTGACAACCTCTCCGTCTGGCTTGAGGATAATCAGCTTGGGGACAGCATTGACCTTGTACTTGGTTTTCAGCTCTCTACTGGGAGATAGTCAACAGGATAATCAAACAGATTACTTGAAAATATGGTTTTACTGTTTTAACTTCAAAAAGCTAACAATTCCAGCATTTACAACATGACAATGTTTAAATGGTTAAATCTACTGTCTATCGTAAAACATAAGATCTGTCTTAAATAAAACATATAATAAAATTTCATGTTGAATTAGATTACATATATTTTTATTTGAGTTCATCATCCAACCATTTCATTCTGAAATGATCTATTGAACATGCATTTTACAACTTTTGACTTACTTATGGGAATTCAACTTAAACAACTGCAACAAGTAACTTTAATGTCTTTGTACATGTAATTGTCGAATGTTTCATATGATATATTAAAATCCACAAGCACAATGCATTTAATGAAGAAATTTGAAAAAGAACCTACTCAATTAATGGATTGCCAAAAGGCAAAGCCAGCCAATCTCCATGAGATTCCTTCATGTACATCTGCATTTGATCTTCACTCTGATCACAAGAGAGATACACAACTTCAAAGGGAGCGTTCCTGCGTTTCAGTTCTGCATATATTTCTGCCAGCTTGGGAGTGAACATTCTGCAAGGTGGACACCAGTGTGCTGAGAAATATAAACCAACTACTCGGCACTGCAATGCTTCATCTGCTTTCACTTTGAGATTCTGTCTTGATATCAGGTCTTTCCCTCGGAATATTTCCAGGATCTGTTCTTGCTCTTCTGTTGCCATCTGTAATTTTTAATGAAAAAATTGCAAGTACATTGTAATAATTAAATGTGAAGCTTACAGTCTACTGTATATATATTCCCATGAAAGTTTTAAAATAGAATTTTATTATAAAAGACATTACAGTTAGTATATCATATACTGTATACCCCTGTACGTGGTCAAAATGTCTTATTTTGAAACTGCATGGTCTCTCTAGTCGGACTACTGTACAAACTGGGATTGAACTACATTTGGTTTCAACAAGAAATTACTGGTAATGATACATATATATTCAAGTACTGGTATTTTGGTTAATTTCCATTCCGACCAACCCCCAAACATAAACACTAGCCCCTGCAATTAATGTGCTATCTGTAGTACTTGATACAGAACGTTTTCTCAAGAACTTCTTGGTTTTCTTAACCCGTAAAAAGGCACATATTAAGTGGAACTGTTACTGTTTGCGAAGGTTCGTTTAGCAAGAATAACGTTTAGCATGAGATAACTGTACACCACAAACAGAATTTTCAACTACAGTTCACGAATTAACCACAGTGCAGCATGCATTGGCGGTTGTTTACCTTAGATACAGTATCATCAACGTTATTGCAGTACGTGTGGAAACATACAATTTCACACTTAACTAATTTGTGTAAGAATTTTCAAATCACTTTTACACTTCATTTCAGCACATAAAAGTCATGTAACGAAATAACCTTCCTGCTTATTGTTGTTTTGCACCTCTTGTAAGTTGTGCTGTACAAGTGCATGTCAGCTCCCTCTATCGTTAAACCTAGCAATCCAATCAATATGGGCTCTTCCTGCAGGTTCGCAATGTGCGTTTTTGTTTACATATTTTATTTGTTGGTTTTGGGTGTATGTGGAGAAATTGAGGTTTTTGAAGTAGATGGAGTCAAAGTAGAAAGGCTAAAAATTCCCGAAACGTGCGATTTTTCTGTACAGGACGGAGATCAACTTAAAATCCATTGTAAGTATAGGTGGTTCTTTACTAGATTAACGTTCCCTGCGCGCCTTCACTGCCTATTGCATTGCAACTTCTAAGGATATATGGGCATTTTTACAATCCTGGGCACTTTTCAGATTATCCCACATATTGCTAATTAACAAATTACATACATATGATCAAAGAATTCTTTTATCACTATGTTAGAGAATGGTGTAAGTGAAGATAAACACTGAAAATAGAAACCAAATATCACCACCGAGTCCAAAGTTATGCTAAAGCAAAGCCCGAAAAATGACCAAAAAATTTTCCCGTTTTAGTCATATGAAATAAAAAGCAATCTGAAATAAATTAAAACAGTGTTTGACATTGAAACAAGGACATGTCTAAAAGGACATATTTTTAAACATGTCTTTACTGTTGGTAAATCTGACATTGTCAAATAATATTTTATACAGCTATGAAAAGTAACAAAAGAAACTGGAATAAGGTATAATGGCGTAAAGAATACCTGGAATATATCTCAGAATCAATATTTAATAAAAATAAAATTCCAGTAATGAATTACTAGTACAGAATAGACAAAACAAGCACAAAATGTAATAAAAAGACTTCAATTTTAGTTCAGCTTCTACCTATTTTGCCCAGCTATTCATAGACTTTACCTAAAACTTCTAAACTCAAATACTACAATATATTAAAACAATATCATAAATGTTAAAAAAAAATGTCCTTTCCGAAACAGGGATGTTTTGGAAAGGACATTTATTAGTACCACCAGCGTGTACGCTGGCGGTACTCATGGTTTTAGTCCCGACCCGTCTCGTACAGCTCCGCCGGCTCCTGCGGCCCCGCCGGCTCCTGCAGCTCCGCCGGCTCCACAGGATGCCGTGGGATACAAGTCACCGTTACCGCTTCTCCTCCTAGACCGCAAGGACCTTTGTCCCCATCTCTTGGATTTAGGTCACATATAATCTCAACTTGAACCCCCTGATTTTTTTGTCTCAGTTGGTGCATTGGCCTGGGCATGGTGCTCGTTCAAACGCACCCTTGTCAAAATTTTTGAAAATTCAATGCTAAATATCTCCCAAACTAAAGGAACTATGCGAAAAAATTCTACAGAAGCTTGACCGAAAGTCATATGTAGAGATTCCAAATATGCCCTTGGATTTGACTTTTGACCTTTATTTCAAGGTCAAACAGGCCAAAATTTTCTAAAAATGGGAATTTTCTGCAAAAAAATATTTGTTTTTGCCAATTTTCAGAAACTACACAGACCTAAGCTCTCATATCATAGTGAGGGGTTACAATTAGGGACTCCTTTCATCTTTGGGAGTTTGGGGTCAATTGGTGCATTTTCACGGGAGAAGCAGCCATTAGATGCTGAAACTGAAAACTCTCTTATTCTGGAACCATAAATGCTAGAGACGTCTTGTTTGTTGCATTTTGTAGAGCTTGTCAATGCCAATACTGGCAGTGGTGTCAGTTTTTTTTTTGTTTTTAATACGGTTTAGGAGTTGCGCTATATCAAAAAGTACAACGTTGCAAGACTTACATGTAGTGGTGAAAATAAGATGTGAAATACTCCAAAATTAGCAGAGATACGTCCATATTTACTATTGAACTTGAATAGGAATTCATATACTGGCAATCTTATTGTGACCTTGAAAGTGACCTTTGACCTACTTTTCACCATAAACTGAACTTTGCAAATTTGCTGTCTCTTATATCTCGAAAACTGGCAGGGATACGCCCATATTTACTATTGAACTTAAATAGGAAGCCATATACTGGCAATCTTACTGTGACCTTGAAATTGACCTTTGACCTACTTTTCACCATGAACTGAACTTTGCAAATCTTCTAGCTCTTATATTTCCAAAATTGACAAAGAAATGCACATAGTTACTATTGAACTTGAATAAGAAGACATAATGCCAATTAACGGTGACTTTGAAATTGACCTTTGACCTACTTTTCACCATGAACTGAACTTTGCAAATCTTCTAGCCCTTATATCTTGAAAACTGGCAGAGATATGACCATAGTTACTATTTAACTTGAATAAGAACTCACATTTTGGCAATCTTACTGTGACCTTGAATTTGACCTTTGACCTACTTTTTTACCATGAACTGCACTTTGCATATTTTCTGCCCCTCATATCTTCAAATCTGGCAGAGATATGCCCAGTGTTTCTCCTGGGTTTTCTTTTTATTCAACATATATGCAACGCTGATAACACATTACAAGGAAAACCCATATGTCTACTGTCTTGAAAATCACAGGAGTGATCAATATTATAAAAATACAGCTTAATTCGAAAATAAGCTTGATCAGACTATTTTTACAGTTATGCTGTTTTTTCACTTCTTTTTACATATTTTGAGAGCTCTTGTTTATTGCATTTTATAGAGCTTGTCAAGCTCAACACTGGTGGTGGTGGTGGTGACCCGTTTTTTTGGTTTTCCATACGAATGCGCTTACTCCAGCTGGTGGTACTATAACAGGAGGCGGTATCGCCTCTCTGATCCTCTAGTTTTAACATGACACTGCAATTAGCACACATGTCCGTGCAAAATAATATTTTACACAATCATGAAGCATAACATAAAGAACTAATGCAAGGTAAAGTGAAGTACAGAAGTCCTCAGAATATCTCAGAATCAAAAACTTCATGGAGTCACATTTAATACTGAAACAGGAAAATGACAAAATATCATTGATTCGTCAAATTTTGGATATTTTCATCCATTTTTTTGCAAATACATAAAAGAGCAATACTCTCTGAGTAAAACTTAGTGGTTCTTTGGAGATCAATACCTTAAATTATCATAAAAGTCACACACATCAAGGTTTAGCTTATGAAAATTAAAAAAATGATTTTCAAAATTCAAATAATCATATCTTTATACATACACAAGGTTTTATCTCGGGATTGTCATTTCTTATTCTTATAAAAGTACAAATTTCAACACAATAATGACTTCTATTTTTGACCCTTGGTGGGAAAAAAAGGAGCCCAGGATTGTAAAAAATGCCCATATACACAGCCTATATTGATTTTTTTGCCGTGTTTTTCAGTTCATTGTGTCATTTACTGTAACAAGTTTTTTTTTCATCAGCACTGTTTAAATTGTGATTTTAATTTAATGAATAGCAGGGAATTTCGTATACTGAATGACTAACTAACATTGTTTTAACACTGTTTTATTATTAAAATAGGTGAGATTTTAGTAACCGTATAATGATGTTGTTCTGTTTTCTTAGACAGAGGCACGTTAGAGGATGGGACAGAATTTGATTCTAGCTATAGTAGAAACAGGTATGGCAGTTAATTTTTTATCCATCAATCAATTTTTACATAAAATATCTTTGCCCCCACCCAGTCTTATACCAGCTAGGTGCTATATACTAGTGCTACTAGTAGTTGGTGTTGCCAATAGTAACATGTACTCACAGTTTTTAAATTTTTTATACGTGTTAATTTTCATTTCAAACAAAAGTAAATTTTCTTAAACCACTGAAATTTATTGGCAAAGTACCATTACTTCACAGTATTTCACAAATATTTTCTTCACATGTTAAACAGTGACTGTAATGCAATAATGTCCATGTTTTCTTTTCCTAATTTCTTTCTTTTAAAGAAAAAAAATTATTTTGTTCTAGTCCATTTGCTTTCACTATTGGAAAAGGTCAAGTTATAAAAGGTTGGGACATTGGCATCAAAGGCATGTGCATTGGAGAGAAGAGGAAATTGACCATTCCTCCTGACAAAGGATACGGCGACCAAGGCTTTCCACCTAAAATACCAGGAGGCAAGTTGAGATCTCCACATCTTCGCAATGAGTGTCTTCAGAGTTACAGTAATGGTTTCTTCAAGCAACTGCTTAAATTCATACTTATTTTCACTTGCCAGGAATATCTTAATGTTTGACCAGACACTGTCATCAGGTTTTAGCTGTTGTTTGAAGAAACTGTTGTAACTTAGAATTTATACATTGGTTTTGTTTTGTGTAATGTTTAAATCAGAATAATGAGAACTAGTTCAAAGTTGATTTAATATATCTACAGTAAATGCACATTTTCATATTTACTTTTTAAGAGATGGAAACGTTTTCACTGTACCTTTTTTCTACGACTTATACGTGCGTATATTATTAGAATCTTTTATAAAATCTGTATTTTTATTTAACATCATTCATCCTAATTACAGGATGTTTAATTAGTTTTATTAGAATTGACATTTTATAATTATTGCTCTCTTGTATTAACATGAAGGCATTCCTCATTTCAGGTGCAACTCTTATATTTGAGACAGAGCTCATAGATATAGATTGAGGAAGATAAACCAACCTTAACTACAGTGAATCATTGAAACCAGATTTCGTGCTGTAGCGAGACTGAATCAAAAGATCTAAAATGTAAAAGTTATATGTATATTTGTTCCTTCAGGGAGTTGGTACAGACACATCAGTAATGTGATGACTGTTTAGTTTATTTCTATGCAGTGAAGTCAGTAGGTTGGGTGTGTTTCAAACCAATGGAAGCAAATATCAGACTGAGCAATATTTAACATGTGCATTTTATCTGGCATGTGAAGATTTATCGTTTTTCAGAGAGATTATGGTTTAAAAGTTTTTCCTGACACCAGTGTTACTTTTGCTTTGCTATTCGCATTCCCATTTCTTGTGCCAGTTTGCTATTGAAGTGACTGTAAATCTTCTGCTCTAAACTTTGGTAAGTTCACCAGCCCTCTACAACATTTTGGTGTCTGTGATGTCTCTCCCTTACACTTAGGATGAGTGAGTGGTTTACACGAACCCTTGATTTGTCAAGGGGGTGTAAATTGTCTCATAATTATCCAATTTGTTAATAATTTCAAATTATATTCAATTTTATTAACACAGCTTATTTACTGTATAATTTAAGATACTGATTAAAAACAGCAAACATATTTCAAGATCACGTGACTTTTATTCTGTCATCTGCCATGAAAAAATTTTGAGGGGATGGGCCCCAAAATCAAAATCTAGTACTGAGCATGCAAAATATTTTCCAGTAATAAATAATAAATAGAGTACACAAAATAAGTAGAAGAATAACCCTGAAGGTGTCTACTATGAGTTTAGTCAGGCTAAGAGACATTATTTGTTGTACAGAAAACATACTTCACATCATATTGCAATCACTAAAAATAAATGAACACAAACACATACTTTATATATCAGCCTGCTGAAATAAACTTTCTACTATTCTAACCATGAACTACTGAATCACAGCAAAAATGGGATAGGACTTTAAATGTTAAACAAAAAATCATAATATCTTGAAATAATGAGGTGTGCTGAAGCATCAAAAGTAACTAGACAAAATCCATGAATTCAGTGGTGATCGAAGAACTGTACTAATGTCGGAAAAATGTGGCTACATTAATTTACTAAACGGAGCCATTAGAAATCTTTAAGACTGTTGGCACTGTGTGGCATCATATGAGACTAGAAAAATGCTAAGCTGTGAGACTGTGCTATCTCCAACAATTCCCATTTGACTCTTATCTGTTGAACATTGCTTAGCACTGGGGATTTCTCAAATATGTGTTTTTGAATAAACTGTTGTAAATGAGGTATGCTCTTCAGCACGTATAACAAGGTTTTTTTAATTTACTGAAGTATTCAATAATATAAAAATACAAATCTGATGTGTACTAAATACATTATATCTCCAACTTTTCAGCACTTTTACCTAAGTGTATACAGTTGTCTTTGAAAGTTTTTAGCTTTTATTAACATCTCTTTAATTGGTTGATAAGACCAGTTTAGACCTTGGTGTAAAAATATGGCAAACAACCACTTTTCAGTAACATTAAATATTTGCTCAATGCACCTCAATGTTTTACTATTCCATTTCTTTACACTGAAATTTTGAGAGCTTGTGTGAATCAATAGGTAACAATAAAATATAAAATGCATTTATATCATTCTACTTATCTCGATTCCATAATAAGAATATTCAATATCATGAAAAAATCATGAAAGAAACTGCTCCATGTAGCTAGAATGCCTTAATAAAAAGAGAATTAAAGTGGGACTTAAATAATAGTTACACCTCTAACAAAACTAGTTGCCACAGGCGAAAAGTTTACCAGGATTTGATAAATTATAACAGCTACTGTCTTGAGCATTTACATTGACCCTCTAGCACATTAGATTCTAATGGTGTTTTAACATAAAGCTCAGGCACATATATCGGGTATTTACATGTAAGTTAGAACTCACTATTAGAGCTGATTGCACAAAAGCTTGAAGCTGCACAGTGGGACTAACCAAGGAATTCTTATGATGGGAGACATAAATGCTGAAATCCTTATAATTTGGTGATAAAAACAATTCAGCAGGAATCCATGCTATCATGATAGCAATGTCTATGAGTACTGTGAACAACTAGAATTTATTTTTTTGACAGGATTTATTCTAAAATGGGTATGTTATAAAGTAGTTTCAATAGGTATGCTACTTTCTTTATCCATGTCTGCAGGTAAAGCATCTCGGAGCTCATCCACACCCATGGATAGCTCATCTTCTGGTGTTGATGCAACAGACCCCTCAGGACCACTGGCGCCATCTTCTTTGCTCGACCGTAACTCGATATTGGCTGCGTGAATACGAAAGTGCAGTCTGGACTCTAAACTGTAGCCCTTGAAATGTCTGGAGAGAAAATGTGTAAGGAATTCATAGTTAAGGACTCAAAAGAAAAAAAGAAACAGAAAACAAGCAAAACTGCTTTAAACAGTAGACCATGTGATCAGACTTGAATAATGAAAATAAATGGGGAAGAAGGGAAGATGACAAGAATTTTCATTTCTAAAATTAGATGTTATGATAACTACATATAGATAACAATGACACATTTGACCTGTATATGTAAGTGCAAACATTGCAATAATATTCATTTATCTATTTCTTATCATAAGTTTCATGAATACTGACTTTGCTTTGTCCAGCAGCTTCTTTGCCTCATCAGGTCTCTGCTGTTGCATGCACAGGAGAGCCAGCTCCATGTGTGCCCAGGGAACCAAATAGTTGTCACATTTCAATTTCTTCTCACTAAATACAAACAGATCAAATTATATTAATAAACAAAATATCATATAGAATGCTTTTATGAAAAGGAATAAGATATTCATTTTAGATTTCAAAAATGTGAAAAAAATGAAGTACTTATTGAGAAGGTAAAAAGATACAATATGACCTCTAAAGTAAATCTTTAAAGAATATTTTGTCAGAGTGCTGATGCTGGTGTTGCTAACACAACACAATGTAATTTAACACCAGGGTTGTCTGAAACCAAAAAACAAACATCGTTACATTTTTTATTTGAAATATTAACCTGTTCTTCTCACCTGTCGCACACCTCCTTAAAACATATTTCTGCCTGGAATGTTCTGCCCAGGTGCTTCAAACACACACCTTTCAGATGCAGAGCTAGGCAGTAGTCATCAGTGAAATACTGGAAACTCTCTGGAATAAAACACAGTATTGGTTTATATACAATCTCTCCAAATAATTCACCACAAAACAAATATGATTTTAACAATCAGCATGATTTGAATTTCGGATTATCAAAAAATTTTTTCTACAATATATACGAAGGTTTCTCTGTTTCACAAATTCATACATATTTACTGTTACCATGGCAACCTGTCTCACCTTTGCTTTCTAGAATAGTGTTGATTGTGGCTTCTATCACAGATATTATAGGTTCTACCAGGTCCGTCCTCTTCCCGATGATGGAGAACCCATTCCACACATAAATCAGTTCCTGATTCAGAATAAATCACACCTTTAACAGACAATCATGGGACTCTAATGTGATGCAAGGACATTCTGATTATCAATAAAACCAGGTTGAAGAACCTTTTAAAAGTTATTAAAGATTTTTTCTCATTTTCTAGCATTATAAATAATATGTATGAAAAAAATCTGGACCTAATATTGAAAATAACAAAAATTCTGTGAAGACACAGAGACACAAATGTGGTAGCTGTTGGTATACAAGAATATTTTCTTACCAGTGCTGGAAGTGTAAGCCTATTCTTTTGTTCTATAAATCTCTTAGCTTTCTTCACAGCAAACTTTTCGATTGGTATGGACTTCCCTGCTATCCTCTGCTGCAGTCTGGGAACTTCACTGTAAAAAAATTAATTAAAAAAATAAGAAAAAAAAAAAAAAAAAAAATATATATATATATATATATATATATATATATATATATATATATATATATATATATATATATATATAAAACAAAAACTTCCCCACCAGTAGGATTCCCTGCCATCTATTTCCTGGAGATAGACTGAACCCAATTTTATATATACGTCGTACTATTATCAAAACTGAATTAAAAATTTTGAACATCTACTGGAAAAAATTATCCCAAAAAGAAAGATTTAAAATGATAGTGAATCTTTCTCCCATATACTGGTAGTTCACTCTTATACTTACCCATAAAGATAATTGATGTGCTCCATTGTTTCCTCTGTCTTATCAGCACACATCATAAGAAATGAAGCTTTCTGGTATGTGTAAGTTGCTTTACTCCAGCGACTCTCGTGACAAAGCTTTTCAGCATATTTCATCGCCATTAACCAGTCACATTTGAAACTGAAACAGAAATTGATTTTTTTTACAACACACATATGTACATGTACCTTCATGTCCTTCAAATTTTCCTTTCGTATTTTAAAATCCTTTTAAGAAATACTTAAACATTTAACACTTGTTAATGCAGAAAATAGTCAAAATGTTAAAGGGATAATAACTCTTCGTATGAGATCTATATTCCACAATAAAAACATTGTGAACAACTCATAGAAAAATAATTTATTCTGTTGTATAAGAAAAACAACAGTTATAGCTATCATTCTGATATCTGAGCTTGTCTTTAGACCACGTGACGTCCATGGATAGCTATACTCTGTTGTAATCTCTTAAGAGATTATAACAAAAAACCAAAATTTTTTAGAAAAAAACCAGGGACTAACTTTGAATGTAAAAATGGATTCATTAACCATTGTTAAGTATGGAAAAATTGTTGTTTACTCCAGAAAAATTCATTTTTTGGCCAAAACGAAGAGTTATTATCCCTTTAAATGCTCCATTATCCTGATAAGAAATGCATGTAAAAGGTATGCATGAAAAATCTGCCCTCCAAAGAACTGTAACCACGCCAGTATCACCAGTATCCCCTGTGACACCAGTATCCCCTGTGACACCAGTATTACCTGTGACACCACATCAGCTCCCAGTAACAAAGATGATGGAACTGTTTCCACTCCATCTGAGATTCCACGGACTCCTCAAACCTTAATATGGCCTCATCAAGGTTGGCTTTGATTTCTTCAATTCTCCCAGCAAAAAACAAGAACAGAGCACCTCTGGGATAACTTTGTAAGCATGGAGTTAGCACAGTTTCAGCAAGGGGGATGTCACCATCTGCTGTGCCTGGAATGAAACACAATAAAAAAACAAAATATAAAACATATAAAACCCAATATGATATATGTATGGACAGCCAAAATAAGACTGCAAACATAATCCAAACTTTTGTGGGAAGATCTGTCATTACATGTTTCAGCTTTTAAGGCATACCGATAATTTAAAGTGAAATATAAGAAAGGCATTTTGCTGTTCTGGGTATAAAATAAACAATCCCTGTGGACCAGGCCCTCCAGTAAAAATCAATTGCTTACTGACCTACTATACCTGACAAGACTGTGGTATTGAGTAATTTACCTAATACATAGGTGACTAGAGTGTGATAAGCAATTAGGATTATAGAACATAGTGGTCCCCTGAGACTGTGCCTGTAGCTGCTACCCAGCTCCAACTCCTTCAGGCCAAATCTCTGAAACAAAAATATACTCAATGACTTGGTTGTACTGATAAATCAGCTCTACAGAAACGATAAATATCAAATAACCTTGTGTGTACTATTTATAATCTGAATGAACAAAAAATGTCTTTATTCAATTTACAACAAATGTTTTATCACTGTAAAAATATTTATCCATTTCATCATTATTCATATTATTCTTGGTGGGTCAAACTTTTTTTTTTGCACTCACCTTGTTTCCTGAGAAACCAACAAACTCCAAGAGCTTCAGCACCCTTGTTGGCAGCAGTGAGATTAACTGAATAGAAATATAATGTATTACATTCACACACTTCAATGATGTGCACAGGAGATCTCACGTACATGGTATTAAAAAGAAAACAGGACCATCAAAATATCTAAAATTTCTTAACACAAAGGAAAACCACTGTCAAAAAACTACAAGAAGTGTTTATCTTCTGGCCATTCCAAGAGACCACAGTCAAAGCTTTGGAAGTGAAAACAGAGCAATATTCAGTCCTTCATCTAATTCTGTGTAACAGGAGGATCTACTTACCAGATTAAATGCACCAATGCCCATTCTGACCCCACTTTCAAAGTGGATTTTCTCTTTACAGCCGTTCCATGTTCTGTTCTGGAGCATCTTGGAACATTCCCTGTAAAGAGCAGAACAGTTAGGGCTCATTCCCAATGAAATTATCTGCCTGCATAGATCGATCCAACTCTGTGGGAACTCTCGCTGAATGCAATCAGATTAACATGTCTCCCCTTGTTTCCACCGCACTCATATAAAGTCACCAGCATTTCTGCATTCTACTCAATGCCAGGAGGAAGCATGTTAATCTCCTAATCTGTTAATCTGGTGTTGAGTATAATGCAGTCTGATTGCATTCAGCATGAGTCCCCACAGAGTTGGATTGATCTATGCAGAACAAGTTTCATTGGGAATGAGCCCTTAGACCTCAAAATAGCACTGTGAAGTTACACAGGAAATGAAGAGAGCAATAAAATTAAATAAGTGATGAATACCCAGTAGGTTCAATGTAATTCAATATAAAAGTACCAATTAACTTACTTATAAGACAAGTAACATGCCCGTATCTTTAGTGCTCCTTTGACGAAGCTGATAAGGTTTTCATCTTGCACAAAAGTCATCAAGGCCCTCTGTATTAGGCACTCGGCATAACACAGCTCTGCGTGTATTTCTTCTGTGGTGTAGTTATCATAATTTATTTTCTGTCCCTTGGCCCCCCTAGCTATGGCACTGACCACGGAGGTCTTCTTACGGAACTTGTTACAAACTTCTATAGACTTCTTTATTGTCTCAATGGCAAGATCAATATCAGCCTAAATGATGAAGAAGAGGCAATTATTATATAGGGTTTACATAAAGCAGATCATCACCTGCATGTGAGGAAGGAGCTAAAATTGTCAAAAACATGACTCATAAAAAATTGTTACATTTTATTGTCTCGCTGAATCCTCCAGATCTTCAGTTTTGTAAAACAAATTTAAGCATATTATGTATCATTTATTCAATACATTGACGACGGTTGTCTTACATAGTTTACATGGAGCACTATGCCACCCCAGCCTTGTTGAGAGTAACATAGGTATATACACTTACTCTCTCAAATGTCATAGCAGCTTGCAGGTACATTATTGTACAATATCCCAGTGCATGGTAGATACTGCGATCAGCCCTAAAAAAGACAGCACAGCAGTCACAGATAATAGACATTATAAATTTGAAGTACAGGATATGAGCAATTAAGGCACCATTAACTATCCCACAGTACCATTGAGTTAATCAACAAATGTAATATACTGGTGAAAAGGACATTTTCAGCTGCTGGCCCTACTTCAACATCTAAAAGCTAATTGAGCTTTTAAAATCCAATCAATTAGGCAATCTCCCAATAGAAGCCAATACATTACCATGGCTGCATTCTCTCTTTTGCTTCACTGAATTTGTTGTTCAAGAAGAGGTTCAAAGCAACTGCAGCTTCTTCAATCCCTGTGGCAAGGTTGACTTCTGAAGGTCTGGAATCCAAAGATTTAGACCATTAAAAGTCATCTGTACTTGTATCTCCAAAACATGTAATATCTTTTTTAACATAATGAAATCAATACCCTGAGTCTGCTCTGCAAATTCTTGTACTGAGTATGTGAAATGAAAATGCAAGGCATAACTTCACTTTGCTCAACCTTACAGAAGAAAAGGGTAAAATCAAAAATACACACAAAGGATTTTGTCATAGGTGCACAGTTAGACCTCCATCACAGCAGTCTGTGCTAAACACCAACAAGGCAGCAAAGCTGTCAAATGTACAGACAGCAATAATGTCTCTGCTGAAATATTCATAGCAATAAAAGTGGCCCCAACAGCACAACATATCGCCACCACTTCTGTTCTTCACAAAATTTTAGACCCTCAACTATCAAGACAACCCCGCAGCCAGTATACACAACCCATAAGTTCGTGATACTTTGTCATTTAATTATTTTTATATATCTTTATATCATTATGTAGAACCAATGACTTCAAATCTCTCTCTCACCTGCAAGTATATTGCACCATTTTCCTGTCAGTCAACTATTTCCAGAACAAATATCTATCTATCAGTGCCAAAGACAATAACAAGCTGATCATAACCATATCAAGGTGGACAAGATCAATTAGCTACATGGAGCTCCTATAATGAGTGATTTTTGGAAACCGTATACCCCCCTCCCCTGCATGTAACACAAAATGCCATGAGAATAAAAATAAGAATAAAAACTGGATACATTTAGACTGTTCTTTTGAAATCCAAAATAATATTATCGTAGAACCAGAGTTTAGACCATAATTTCATGTTGAACATAAGCCTGATGTAAACAGGCTCTGTCTTTATTCATGTTTTTATGAAAAAGTTGTCGACCAAATTGAGTAGAGCTAAAGATTGATTGCAGTTCAATTACATGTGACAGCAATTTTGTAATGAACAGAAAAACACGATCCCTTTTTCCCACATGGCTTAACTGGATAATCATGTAAATAGCTTCCACTGTAAGGTTCTACATAAGTAGACAGCTGTAAGGAGAAAAAAACAAGGAAAGCTTCAGGCTGAAACAGGTATTTATTTCCCTTGTTTTAATTCTTCTAGGTTGACAGTTGAAATTAGACATGGGCCCCATTAAGAATAGAGGACTAACTAGACTAGACTAATCAGAATAGGGGACTAAATATGGCCAACCCACTTGAATAGTATTTCCCACGGGATATCTATTCAGTGTCCATTAGGGGATTAGACGGCAAACTTTGTAGTGGGTCATCATATTTGACCCTCGGAATATTTAGACTATTTTGAATGGGGCCATGGTCTTTCTATGCAATACAGCTGTCAGCTGGCCTCACATGGGAGCTCTGACACAGGACATGGCATCTTTTTCACCTGTATATAATCAAACAAAAAGCAATATTTTATAATGGAAATTATCTGACTCAGTTTTTGTTTGAAGTCAAAAATGGACTTCATTAAAGAAAAGTCATATAATGAGACCAAATTGATCTTTTAGTGTGTACATTCCTAAGGGATGCCTTTTCCAGCAAATTTGGTGTTTTTTAACAATTCTATTTCAACTTTAACAACAGTTATTGCCTGTTCAGCTAGTATTTACATTTTATCAAAATCAACGCCATATTTTGACGAATGGTAAATTGTAAGCAAAAATCTTGAAATATGATCTTTACGCCCACTTTTAACTTTCCAATACAGTAAGTATTTCATTCACGAGGCAAAATTTACATAAAAGATAATCACATTCAAACTACAACTACCCACATCCGTTCTCTGACATTTTATCAAGTCACAAAACAAATTAGCCATTCTAAAATGCACACAGATATGGAATCAGAAGTGAAAGAATTTATGCATTTGAAACCTTTTCAATTCACACAGGCAATATTGATTTGTATTACAAGTATTTCCACTTACATCTCTGTGGATCCCTTGTCATTTTGGACTGTAGATACTGTCTCTTTCTTCACACTTATCTCCAACTTTTCTCTTTTTAATTCTGACATTGCTGCTTCCGCCATGTGTTCATCAAACAGCAAAAATCAATTTTCTTACACATAAAGTCTTATATACATCTACTGCTTCCTGCCTTCAAGTGAAAATTGATCCCGCCCACTTAAAACGCTCATCATCTTCTGACAATATAAAAAGATTATACCACTGCAACTAGATCCTTTTACTGTTATATCTGGAGGTGAAACAAAATCCTTGTTTTTATGACACAAACACGAATTCCTCAGGGCCAGCTAGTACCTATGTGTATACAGAACTACATGGTACATAACAATAGTCCTGTCATGCCAGCTGGCCACTCATGTACTCAACTGAATCAATACTGTGGAGTGACCATCTCCTCTTTTCTCTGTGGTGGAATACATTGATTTCTTGCATTTGAAAGGTATTAATTCATTAAGAGCAAAAACAGTACAAGATTATACAGGTGGGTTCTTGGAATGTCCATTATTATAATGATTGATAAAGATGAAATAATAATAGACTTTGTGCAGTTTGGTGTTATATTGCTGTCAACTGTTTATCAGTATGTAGTAAACTTATCATGCAATTTCTGATTCAGTCAATATCTTGAAATGAATTTGTTGGAAGAATCTGATTAAATCAAGAATGTATTATTATTATGATTGTTGTTATTGTTGTTGTTGTTGTTGTTGTAACACATTCTTGATTATGTTTAACCCTTGTATATTTGAGAAAGTTGCTTTGAAATGTTCTTTCACCTTTATTTATACCGAAATTATAATAATTTACACCAGAATAATGCAATTAATAACATTTGAACTTTCTGAAAAGATTTTTTATTTTTATCTTTTCATATTTATATCCTCATTTAATTTCCTCGCTGGCAGATATTATCATATCTTTATTCATTTATTTATTTATTATATTTTTTTTGTTTTTTGTTTTTTGTTGTTTTTTTTTAACAGTCAGCTACCAGCAGATTTGATCAGAATAAAAGAAGATACTATACAATCTGTTGAATTGTTAGTAAAGGCTATAATTAAAGCAACACAACAGAATTCTTTGAAGGTAAAGGTATCCAGTATTCTGTCTGGCAGGGAGAAAGCTAATTTTGAAGTAAACCTTCTAAGTTAATAGGCACCATACTCTTTCAGAATTATGTATAAGCTCGAGTTCTTCAAGTTTTTCTTTATACCTCTAGTTGATAATATCCAATACGTAAATTGAAACATGTATGTATTTTAGCTAAAATTATAATCATATGAAAACATACAGAACCCAAGGCTGTCAAAATAACAATAATGTTTAAACGGTCATAATGAAAGTAACCATATATTTTCTGTCCTTATAATCAACATAATTGACAAATAAAATATTCTTTCCTAGACCCCCTGTATTCATAGCAATGGGGAATAAATAATTGATGTCAATCAATAACTGCCAGGTAGATGAAATGATGCATATAACTACTGGCTACCAGGTAAGAGGATCACCCTCTAAATATAGTAAATGGATCCGAGGCCTACTCTCTCTCTCTCAGCTGTTGCTATTTGTTCCTTTTCCTCCCCTTTCCTGTGTCAAACAAATACAACACCCAACATGTTTAACTAAAAATCTGATAATGTTTGTATCATTATAAAAATTATCAGTAGCAATGTCTGGTAAATTACCCAAATCTTTTCCTCCGCGTTAGGTATAAAAGAATTGTTGCAATAACACGGTGTGTACTAATACATATTATAAAAAGAAAAAAATGAAAATATCTGTAATCACTCCACATCTCCATTTAATCAATATTTTCTTTTTTTCTACAATAACACATACTGCACTACAGTATGATGCAGAATGCAGGAAATTAATGTCTTTCTTTTAAGCAGCTGGGTACCTCCTTCTGAATATCAAATCTAAAGAATATTAGGGTGAGAAAATTAATACTTACATTGAAACTGCTTCAGCTGCATCTTGAAATGACTGAAACAACATAAAGTTATTTAATTATTTGCATTTTTCCAATCTAAAATGTACAGTATTTCACCAAAAGTCTAGTACACCCTGCGAACATTTGATATATATATATTTTTTTTTCAATATCCAAAGTGAGCACATAAAGAGGTCAGAATATAATTGAAGTTAACTTCCCTAATCATCAATAAAATATGGGTATATTAATTACAACACATATGGCCTTCTACACCCCCCCAACCCTACTCTACCTGACCCCTTCCCCTCCCCCAAAATGTGCAGCTGTGATTGGCAGCATTAGATCTACCTTAAAACTGGCTGCTGATGGGCAGAGTCTACAATGTAGTAAGCATGCATGTATGGAGGTTTGAGAGTGAAGATTTTTAATTAAGCTATCTACATGCATGGAAGCTGTACTGTATATGTCTCTCTGGGAGCTCAGTGTTTCACCGATTATCTGGACTACTGCATCCTACTGTACTTATGACTGATGAATAATCATGTCTATAGGCCAAGAGACTGATGACCATTTCACGTCAAAATTTTAGAAAACTACACCTGCTGTTAATACACAATTAACCCACAGACCATGGTAATAATGATTAACGTGCAGCTGTTCAGTCTGCATGAGTGTGGATTGGACGTTTCTTTTGAATCTCCTTTTTAAGAATTGTGAACTTTCACAGTTTAGCTCAGTGAATATACATCAAAAAGAACAGCTCGGGACGAAAATCTTACCAGTGATACTCATAGTATCAACATTTGATAATCATTAAAATCATATTCCCGTTCTCTTCACTCTAGTACGTCTTGGGGGGAGGGTTTCTGCATGCCGTCAGAAGAAATAGGGTTTTTCTGCATCAAATGCTACTCAAGAAAATATGCTAAATGAAACTATTGAATGAATTTCAAAATTTCTCTCAATCATTTACCTCTTCATCTTCACTGTCATTTTCTTCACGACTTGCCATTTCTGTTGCTGTTTACAAATCAACGAATCCGAGAGTTTTAACTTCAATGATTGTCAAAAGGTGGCGCTTGTTATGACATGACTATCATTTTACGTTTTCCATCGCCCCTTTATACAAAGTATTTTGCTCAAATCACATTGGAATAAAAAATTAATCAATTACAAATTATCTAATACTTTATCAGATATTATTTTTCCACACGTACATAGGGTATTTTTTATAAGTGTGTATATTGTTTGCGTGCGTAAAGAGACGTCTATCGTGAGAATTGGGAGATATGTCGCAACAAGTAAAATACATATGAAGCCATATATTTATCAATTAAATATGTTACCTATGGCTTGTTTAGTGGATTTTGTGTAAATTAAATATAAATAAATCCAACCAAATACCAAAGTGTATCATATAGTGTGAATATTCTGACATTGGAAGTGTGGCGAGTGCCTTGTAATACCAACTTGGTTCTGTCGACATCTGCCTCTCGTTGTGAAGTTAGTGCCTATCACTTCCTGCTGACTTTTTTAAAGCGTGCAAGCTGCACCTTGTAAATATTGAATAATGTCGTCCCACAACAGCGCAAATGATCCAAGAAGACCAAATAAGATACATAGGTAAGTCTCTCTCTCTTCTCATCTCTCTCTTTCTCTCCCTCTTTCTCTCTCAAAAGGTAAACTCTAGTCTCCCTCAAGGTAAAAAGCAGATGTAAGATTGTTGTGATATTTTCTATTGGGAAACGAATCGTGTAGAAAGTATCTTAATGCCAACTTCTTTTTTGGTAAATTTTCACTGACATCTTTCAGCATTTTCCAAAAAGAAAAAGTTACATATTTAAATTTTGAAGGCTATGATTTTTATGATCATGGGGTATAGTCATTGGTTGCATGTGAGAGTGAAGACCCCTCAGAAAAAAATGATTATATTATATACTATTACTATAGTAATAATTAGATCTATGCTGATGAAAGATGATAGTTATCATGAAAGTTTGTCAATGGTCCCATTCAGAATAGGGGACTAACTAGTCCAAGGGTCAAATATGGCTGACCCACTTGAATACTTCCCCATGGGATATCCATTCAGTGCCTATTAGCAGATTAGACAGCAAGCTTTGTAGTGGGTTACCATATTTGACCCTCGGACTAGTTTGTCTCCTATTCTGAATGGGGCCATTGAAAAACTAGCTGTTATCATCTAAATACAAGGTTTTTTTCTGCTTGGGTTTGATTAGTGTTAATTGTTTTAACTTCTAGGTATACACCTCCTTCAAGCACAGGGCCACTGGAAGATCCCACTCCAGAATACATGAATTTGCTGGGTATGATATTTAGCATGTTTGGACTTATGATGAAGGTGAGGTTCCTATATTTACAAGCATATAATCTTATAAGAATCATTCCAAAAAAGGTGTATGATAGTAATATGATACTTAAAATCTCATTATGATATGATATTTTGTAAACTGTTAATTTAAAATCTGTCACAGAAGAATTAGTTTGGATGTCTGGACTCAGCTGTCTCTTACAGAGTTTATTAGAGGACAGGTGAATTATTACTACTTTGTATTTACATTATGGAGCAGTATAGAGACTAGTGAATTTTTCTTCATTGGAATACTAGATTTATAAAATGTTTGGTTGCTAGGAACAATGCTTTCTATTTCAGGTGAAGTGGTGTGCGTGGGCAGCAGTTTATTGTTCCTTCATAAGTTTTGCAAATTCCAGAGCTTCAGAAGATGCCAAACAACTTTTGAGCAGTTTTATGTAGGTTGATAGAAAACATTTGCAAAATAGCTTATTGGATTGAAAAATCACAGAATTTTTCATGTTCTTTCTTGGTAGTATTTTATGTTTAATAAATCATGTAAAAAGAAGTCACCAACTTAAGGACTTAAATAATTTTCAGGGGCAGATTCAAATATATTTTCTGGCAGTCTTCCAAATTATCTTTGTTGATCCATCCTATATCTTTTATCGATTTACGACAGAAAAAATTAGATGCCCATCAATATTAACTTGAAAAATTATGACTGTCTTCCAGAAGACAGCTTCCATCCTCCCTGATTTTATGTGTGGGCAATTTCTTTCTTTGAACTTATATATAAGTTTAATTGTATTGAAGCCATTTGAAAATCTTTATCTTATGTTTTCCATATATATCTATATTATTTTCTAGGCTCTCCATATCAGCTGTAGTAATGACTTACCTACAGAACCCTCAACCCATGACACCACCATGGTGACAGGAAAAATAGAAAAAGAAACATTGTATTGTAATTTTACCCCTGTCACAGGCAGTGAGGGTTCAGTATGCTGACTTGGGCCATTGCAGATTGAAATGCTAAATTAACACTGAGACAACTGCCCCATCTGCAAGGACAGCACTGTGATGGACATACAAAACAAACTGTTGAAGCTAATAATGCTTGCACTGAAAATTACTTATGGTGTGATACTTTGAAGGGAGAAGTGTAACCAACTGATAAAAAGATTATATGAGTTAATTAGATTTATATGTGCATTAAGCAACATTAGTACATAATATTTAGTAGAATTTTTAATGCCAGCTAGCATTTTATTTGATTATAGTTAGAATGATAGAAACCGTTTGATAAACACTTGTGTAGATTTATTGAAGACAATATGAAATGCTATTACTATATTGTTTGGTATAAAGATAAAAAGGCAATATTAGTTATCAAAATAAAACACATTTTACTTGATTTTAATCATATGGTTTTATATGTAGTATAAATTTATCATAATTACTTGTATAAAACATCAAATGATATGCATAACACCTTGTAATTGCAAAAAGTAGCAAACGCAATGTTCAGAATCATTGTAAACACACACACACACACACACACACACACTTTGGAAAGGTTTGAGTGGGAGGGAAATCTTCAGTTTGAGAAGATATCAACAGAACGTGTAAAATGGCTTCAATTGTCTTTATTAAAAACCTTTCTTTTCCGGATAAGACACTGTATGAAAACAAGACTCGGCCTTCACCCATACTTCTCTACTCGTGATTTAAAATGCTCCTTTATATTTCCAACAATGTCTCATTCTGTCCAGACAAAATGACTGATAATTAGAAATAAGTATACTCCCCTCGGGGTAGCTGCATTGTACGCGACACTGACGATCAATCGTCCTCTTGTTTCGTTCTGAAAACTGATATATGTCCTGTAATTATATATTACTGGTACAGGGTGGCAATGATTGTGATTCTCGTTTTTATAATGTCTCTCAGATTCCCAATTCAATTATACAACGAAAGTATTGTTCAAGATTGAGGTATGATGAAATGAAAGTCAACATAAATATTGAAACTTCTTTAATCTTTTTTCAAAATTTAATCTACATCAGAATATGTCAGTAAGTCTTTTCCTCTCGCTTTACTAACGGTAAAAGGGATAGGGTCTCTTCTGGCGCCGCTGTATTAAACATCAAATTGCCTGACGCAATTGCTGGATCCGTATCTCGCCCAGATCTGGTTAAATAGATCTGTGTTTGTGGTGCTTCCCGTGGTGCTTTGGAGGGGTTTGTTGTCCGCCATCTTGGGCGTGGTCGTGGTGCAGACGACGCTCGGCATCCCCGAAATTAATCTTGCCTTCTCTTTCATTTTCAATCGTTTCAAGTAGGAGTTTAAAATCGTCCATGGCAGTGTGCGGCCTTTTATTTTTGTGAAGAATTCGCTGAAGTTTCTCCAGCGTTTCTTTCCGTTTTAACTCATTGCGTGACTCTTGCCATTTGCGCAGGAACTCTCTCTCCTTCAACGCCACCTCTTGCTCATATTTGTGAAACTTTGATGTTTTATCTGTATCTGGGGTTGAGTCACGGGGTGTAACGTCAAATTTGATGGGATTTTTGCTGTTATGATTATGATGATGAGACTCTTTCAAGTGATGTTTGTCGTGCTTATGGTGATGTGTCTTATGATGATGTGAAGCAGACGCCACAGTAAAGATTAGTACTACCAGGAGAACGTGGCTGCTGGACAGACCCCGCATTTTCATCGGCAGTACCCTGTTCACCTGAACTGAAAAAATATGAACTCATGACAACTTTATTTTAATTTTGATATGTTAACAAACGAATCTGACTTGATTGGGCTACAACTGTTTCTACATTACCGGCGGTGATAAGGCGTAGGCCGAGCGGAGAAAATAAATGCAACACATGTTATGTGAAATGCACGCCGTTTTTATAGAGCACCTGTTGCTATATCGTCAAAGTTCCTAAACTTTCCAGCTAGTCGATTAAATTGCCACATTGCATTTAACATATTAACAGCAAGTGACACCAGGGAATTTTAAGGCTATTATATGTTTTAATGCCTAGCGCAGTTTTCACAGTTAGGTTAGGTTCACAAGAAAATAGGCTGTAGGCCTACTACTTCAATTCTGAAGTCAGTAAATTTATCTAAATACTTGCAATGCATTGTTCGTACTTACGTTAACGTCTGTCGTAAATGCTTAAAATACTTTCAAAAACTCCAAAATGTTCATTATAAGACTTTTACTGCCAAACAAAACATGTGGGCATCGCGTAATCCCCCTGTGCGTGCATCTCACGTTTCAGTGAGGCAGTTAGAACGCGTGGTACGACCACAACGTCTGCAATAAAAGACCTGAATAGCAAAAACTTTAGGTAATCCGTGGTCATTTTAATTGAACCACAAGCCAATACAGCAAAATGCGTTCTGGCGGTCTGGGAATTGATTCTAGTTTGAAAATTATAAATTTGGAGTCCCATAATTTTTTTCATCAAGAATGCTGTTAATTTTGTGACTTATATGATAAAGGATAAATTTCCCAGTTGTGCACACAATAAAGAAACGTTGTCCTGATGTAGGCCTATCATGTACACTCTTTTTCCAGGGCATTTGTTTAACTTTGAAATTCGGTAATATAAATTGCANTTATAAAGGATAAATTTACCAGTTGTGCACACAATAAAGAAACGTTGTCCTGATGTACATGTAGGCCTATCATGTACACTCTTTTTCCAGGGCATTTGTTTAACTTTGAAATTCGGTAATATAAATTGCACCGCAAGCCGTTTTAGAAATCGTGGGAAAGCCACTTTGCCAGAGTCCAAAATTTCAACTCTGTCGGCTCATTTGACGAGGATGAAAATCCTTTGTCGTCTCTTTTTTCAAGCTCGAATATTTACCTACCGTCTGTTGTAAGTTATGGAAATGTATCTTCGTGCAACAGAATACGTTTTAAAAGTTCTTCGTAACCTTCTTACCTCTAAGATCTTGAGAACAACACTGCTACTGTCGCCTGGTAGTTCTGACTGATTTAATTAAAGTAGGTCACTTGGCTCATTCTGCTAGACTGGGGGCTCGCTGACACGCGAATCAATCATCATAATGTATTACCACCTTTGACCCTTTTCCTTGTTTGAGTGATGGAAAGAGTGATAAATGAAATTTTTTCAAGATTTAAGATGAAACACCAGTAAGCCAAATAGAAAAAATTATTTATATGATTGAAATTTTGTTTTTTAGTTGAAAAGAGACGCAAATAACAATACATTTTTCTTTAATTTACCCATGAAAACAATTTTTGCAGGTGATCTTTGGCCTTTATACGGTCGGGTAGCGGAGATGATTTAATCCCGTTATCTATACTGGGATATCTGTAATGATAAATTGTCCCGCCAGGTGGAAGCACTAAGTTGCACCCAACTCACCTTTCAACAGCCTTACTCACGTTTTATAAGGTTACTTGCACCAATATAATGATAATAATGTAATTTTCTAATTCCTTTAAAGAACATGAAAAATCTATTAAATGCGTAATTCAACAGTTTGATTGTAAATTGTTTACACATCATATAACTGCACATTTTGGAAAGGCACATGAAAGTCGCAACAGCGGCTTCAAATGTGAAATATAGCTTTGTGTTAGTAATTTCGATGGACTGGAGGTTGCTTGCATTCGTCTGTATATTTTTTCTGATATGCTCTGATTTTGGAACCGTTTGGGTTGATGGGAAAATCTACACATATCCTAAGTATTCTTTTAAGAAGAAGAGAGGAGATGTGAGTTGTGATGTATCCGAAATACGTAGACATCTTAACGTTTTCAGCAATGTTTACACTAGTAACGTTAACAGTTTACCAGTAACTAGTACAGTGGTCCTGAAAGGGGCACAAACGCGCGAACACAATTAGGAGCGTTAACATACTATGGATTTTTGTAACAGTAAAGGCCTAGTAATCTGGTATATTTAACTTCTGTCCCTAAGGTTTCATGTGTACCCAGCAGTCTTAGTAAATTCACCATACAGGTAATACATGTACAGTACACATGTTCCTGTAGTGTAACGATACATCAACAGTTGCCTCAGTTTTTGGCCTTACATGTTACGCAGCCTTGTATTAGAAATCCTTAATTCTACTTGTGATGTGCTGAAGTTGCAAAATGCTAAACTACAAAATGTAGGGATCGAACTTGTAGTAGGTTCATTTTGTTTAAGTTATATGTAAAGCACAGTTTACCAGTATCATAAATATTTGTTTTTCAGAGAAAGCTGAAACAGGAGCTAAACAGATGTGAAAAAGAGGCTGATTGTGGAGGCTTCACTGGACCTCAGTATCTAATGTGTATCCGCAAGTGTGTGTCTTCTGAGTGCTTTGAGGAACTCTATGCTCATGATGAGGTGTGTATATTATTACATGACAATGATTGCTTATTTATATGAGAAGTTGTCTGTGTGTGTGTGTGTGTGTGTGTGTGTGTGTGTGTGTGTGTGTATTTTGCTCAGTCACATTGTCTGCACCAGCTTGCTCAGGTCGATTATATCCTTTTACCTCTAAGTATTTAAAACTAGCGCATATGTGGGATTAGTTATTTTTAATTTGATATTCTTCCATTTTCAGTTAGAAGAAGGAGAAATTGATGTGAGGTACAACTCCTTCAAAGGTTGTGTCATTAAAAAAATGAAGACGAGGTAGCAACAGACCAGTATTGGAGACAAAAGATGAAAGAACTGCCATTCTGGTGGTGTTGGACACCAAGCCATATTAATGACTTCCAGTTACCTTAATGTCAGCTCAAATAAAGGACACATCAGTGTGGTGTTGATACTCACTGTTGATCAGTGAAACTGTCTCAAATATATTAAATTATATTGATAAACATTTTTAGCAAAATACAATTTAAGCCACATGGTGGAAATAAAAAGAAAATGCTCAAAATTTGATGGATTTAGTGGATTTTGATTTAGTTTTATTCCAAATTATGAAGTAAGGTGTGAAGGAAGTAGGCAGGTGGTTTTGTTTTACTACCAACGATACGATGTCATTAAATAAGACCAAAACCGATGCCTCTCAACTGAAATGCCCCTTTTATAAAGAAAAAAAAAACCCTTAAACTGGGACATTACTTCCCCATTTGATGTTAAATAAAACCACACAAATCTGTACATCTACCGTTTAATAATAATGATATTATTATTATTATTAAAATGGCAATGTTTCAAATTTTTGTTAGTTGAAATATCTCAAAACCAGCAAGTGAGGCTTTCATCTCAGGGAATTTCTCTTGACCCATGGTATTTGATGTTAAAAGAAAAAAACTTGATTGCGTCATGGTTGGTAAAAAAAAAAAAGGTATCGGAAGGTACAGAAACAGGTGTTTGGCTTGGCTCACTTGTCTGTCGCAACTACCGCAATCGACTTTACGACTTCTGCTGGCGTTGCTTCTGGCAAAGTTGGACGTCCCCCGGTGCCATATAAATAACCACTGATTACGAGTCACCAAAACATGGGTTTTGCCAACTTTCGATGTCCTTTACAGCATTTTTACATATGGTCCCATCCTTGGCTATATTTGTTTGCAGAGAAATGACAGGTGCGGTAACTCCATATGACAGAAGTTATAAATATGTCTCTGATATGGACGAGACAAATAAAATTGGGAAGATAGCAACATCTGAGACAGTATCATCATGCGAACCATCGTGACGTAGCAGATTTTCCATATTTTCATACTTATATACTTCATAAGTCCGTACTTATCATTCTAGCCGTAGATATTCTTGTCACCAAAGATGTTGACTCCTAAAAACGAGTACGTAATTGACGTCAGAACCGCCATCGTCCATGCCAGTGACAGTCTGCGGCTGACGTCATTGTAACATATACCGGTACAACACACAGTCATGAATGTTTCAATGTGGTATTTAATGTACGATAAAACAAAGTGAAAATCATCAAATATGGTAATATATACCAGTTCACGTTTGTATAATAAAGGTAATGTATAATAAAGGTAATGTAAATCATTTGACACGTTGCCGCAGTACATAAATTCTAGTCTGTGGAAAGAATGAGATTACATCTCGAGAAACCAGTAGCATTCGCCCCTTTTGGTGATTTCATCACCCTTCATTTTAAACAAAATGGGATTAATTTAAATCAACAACAATAATAATAACAAGTTCCACTGAAGCAGACTTTACAACAGCGGCTCTAGAGATCCTTAACCAGCTTGTTTTTCCACGTCGACCACGTACATTGTAATCATGAAGAGAAGACTGGTTGAAATCATAATCACTTTTGAAGGTTCTGCAATATTTTACATGTTTGAATAGTGTTTACTTCAACCGCCTTGACGTATATATCTTAACCACTTCACTTCCAATTACATTCTTCCTTTGCTTGCTTTTTCCTTTTCATACGTGAGCGTAGCCGCTTTTTACATTATTATAAAAAGCACATTTATCTACAAGACTGGTATCCAATACGCAAGTGTTCCCAGTGTACTATGTTCCAGACAGGCACCTTTGGGAAAATATGTTTCGACAAAAGAAAAAAGTGTGAAAAATAATAAGTTTGCTCTTATTGCTCAATGCAGACTTAGAAAAAAACATAATTTCAGAGGATGCGTCTCATAAGTTCGAAAAATGAAACATTTTCATCTGTTTTTTTTATTAAAAGGGTTCATTGGTTCGAAGGTTCTATAGTGAACATTCTGACCAATGAACCCTCGGACAATTGTCATGCAGCCAATTTCAGCAACCAAACTAGATGCCCATCGTTGAAACACGCGGTTTACAAAATAATATATTGAAAAATTCAAAGAAAACGGATTCCTTTAAAAAAATTAACCTTTCTTAAGCCTGCCAGTGTGTTTAGAATAAAATACCTTCTGATAATCTGATCTGGGTAATTTTACAGGCTACTAATGGCGTTTGATAAAACGCATTTTCGTATTGTTCAAATTGGGAATGATTTGTTTCGGTCTTCACACGACTCCACGTTGCTTGCGCATTCAAACATATTCTTTACTTTTCGGTCTCACAGAAAACCTCGTTCTTGGTATATTGAAAGAAACTGTCCTAGCTCGAAATTCTGTCAAGTAATCGGCCTCTTGTGATCTCAGATATGCACTGGCACTGCTTAGGGACGAGGACAGCCTGTTCTCATCCAGAGACGCCGTGCTGCCATTTAAACTGGAAAGATCTGATCCCGAGCTGCAGTACATTCCATGGGAGGTTTCTCGTAGATGGTGTATTGTGGAAATAAGGTCGAGAAATTGTCTTTTCAGGTGGTAGTCCTGCCTCCGCATTTGCCACTGAAATTGAAAACCAAAGATATGTTTTCAAAATGATCAAAAACACCTAAGGTATAGGCCTACATTACATTCAATATGAAATGTGAACATTATTTCAAATATAAAATAAGAAAATGCGTTATCTATTCGCATGGTTTTAATCTTTTGTGTTCAGGGTTGGTAATGTTTCAATTTTCGTTTAATTTTTGATTCCTATTATCAAAATGAACTAATCTCTAACCACATCGTGGTATGAAAATAGGCCCTAATCTCCACTTTCCTACTTGTTCAAGTTTGTGGTCAGCATTTTTGCCTTGCGTGTCATATCAGGTTACACACCAGTTGATAGTCGAAAAGATAGGGGAATAACTTGGTCTCTGATACTCCCCGTAAATATAATCCACAGCTTCTGGAGAGATTTATAAAACTCAGGTTGTACTTCTGAAGTTATACTTCATATGCAAGCAAGTCTATGGCTGTGGTGAAATGTTACATCTATGTAATGCATGGGACAGTTTTCAGCGGCAGAAAGTGTATAGTGGAAAGTGCATATTGGATAATATTCCCCCCAGAGTAACATATAGCTTTTGGCAATTAGGGGATTATATATAATTCCCTGGGGCAATACACTAAACCAAACGTCACCCGAGGCGATGCGGGAGTGATTGACAAAGTTCAAAAAGCCTTTTCCTTGTGCGCGATCACTCGTGGCCAGGTAGAGGGCACTTTTGCACGAACAATTTATAAAAGGTTTTCTCTTATTAAATGCTAACGACTTGTTGATTTGAAATAACGCAGAAGGATGGCCATTCATATTTGCTGACCGCTTATTAACTTGGGTATATGTTATTGATGGCAAAATAAGCGCTCTCCATCGTGGACCCAATCGTGACTTGACTGCCCAAGCACCTGTGGTCTGGAACCATTGTTCCACTTCCACCAGGGGTGGATAAGTGCAATCTATTTATGTAGGCTGCTCAAAATGTCTATTGTATTCGGCTTTATCCGCTAACTTAACTTGCTTTCAGGCAAGTTTATTTACATTTCCATAATGTGGAAACCATACCTTACTGATATCACACCCTTTAATATGTCGGCCGTCACCTCTCCATGCCATCACAAAGCTAAGCGGCCACAGCCACCGAATGTTTTTTTCGATCTACTGCACGACAAAGCATCAAATGCTGTGAAAATAATGGCAAATGAAACGCATACTCCTGGTCCATCATCAAAACACAAGAACATCAAGCAAAAAGAGCGCATGCCACTGATAATGAAAAGGAAGATGAAAGTAAGAGACCACCCGAGCGTCGATCAGTGTGCTGTTCTGCTTTCATTAAGTTCAGTAGACAATGTTATCTCAGACTGAACGATGCTTTTAGAGGTAAGCATGAAATTGCTCCACACAGGTGCGCACACACAGACATTCAGCACCTGAGCGATTTCTGAAGAAGATGACCCCAACATCGTGTTTACAAGGTGAGCAGACGAATGGAATTGTTTGGAAACAACATAACAACTGCGACCGCAATGGTAGTGCATTGTTAAGACGAAAGACATTTTCTGCACCAAACATGCTCTATCTATTGATATCTCCTCGTTGGGAGCCGCCCCAGTTATTATTATTATTATAGAAGCAATCACGCGGAAAATTCGATTTCATGTTTAAAAAATGAATATCTGTATAAAAATTGGATAATAGTACCTTCAGCATACCCAAGAAAGAAAGAGAATTACTTTTTAGGAAAGTCTGACAATCAAAGCGATTCATATTTTTTTGAAGATGTACACACTGAAGACTTGCAATGAATTGTCCAAAATCACCTGCATGTTGCACTTGTTGTAGACGGTACAAAGAACAAGATTTTTTTACTGCCTATACACTAGGAAAGGTGACAAAGTCAGACATTTTACTTTTTGAAATTTTAACGAAAACTAATGTTTTCAACAAGAATGTACATCACCAGTGTTTTAAAACTATAAGTTATATCACGGCGACGTTTCCGTTTGAATGTTCGTTCAATATTTTCTTTTTTAAATCAACGTGTCAGGCGTATACGGATTCTTATGTAATGCGCCATTAAAGAATAATATTATCGTTTTAAAAAAAATAGACCATTGTAACTCCTCTGAAATATGTAGATGAAAAGTTATTCTAAGCATATTCTTTTATCTTAGTAGAACTATATTTTATTTTAAAAAACCAATGCAACCACTTTGATTACGACCCCTAAAGGCGACTAAATAAACCCGCATGTCACCTTGCCGCATGTCTAAAATAGTATACAAAATTTAAGTATACAATAATTATATAATACATTTTATAATACGTGATTTTATAAGCAGACCCTGTGGACAGAGGGTAGGTGGTTTCTGTGTTCTACTGCGTCGTTGATGAATTCCTGGGGCTGATCTTTGGCCAAAGAAGTCATAGATTAATTTCACAGCATCATCGCTACACTGCGCAATATGTATCTGCCACTGCACACCAATAGAGATGTCCGAGCTGATTAAGTCAAGAATGAAAAGTTAACCAAATTAAAGTAATTTCTTTTGTGGAGAACTTGTCCTGTATTGCTTAATACTTGTTTATTATAGAGAGCGGGTCACGCAGAAGGAAAGCGGACTACGACACCCGTTAAAGTAGAGTTTTAAGATATTTTTAATTCTGCTATAAATTATCTGATTTAGGTATAATGAGTACTTGAATTTCACAACGGATCCTTGTTTATGCAGTGTGCCACTTCTACAGTAATTGGTAAATGGATATTTTTGTGGGTTCAAAACCATTCTGATTATTCTTAAGAGGTGAACTTTCTATTTAAACGCCTTCAAGCGAGCAAATATGGATTTTTTACCCTGAGTAAATTAGATTCTTTTTGAGGGTTACGGCGATGTCAAGAGTCCGTTTGTTTGCAAGGCAGCAATGTTAACCATGTAAGCGACATCGTGCCCTAGCAAAATACGACAACGTGAAGGTTCTAGAATTAAGTAGCGGTATTTCACGATCAAAGGGGAAATTGTATATTATTCTCTTTGTCAGAGGAAGACATTTCACCCATTTTGAAAGTTGAGAGTAAAATGTTATTAGCATTTATCAGAAGAAAACAAGACGGTCAACATTTGCAACTATAACAATTTATGGATTCCTTTCAAGTTAAGCAGATTACTATGTGTTAATCATAACGAATACGCGTTTTTTTTCGAAATGAAAAGAAAATACACATAAAACGATGCCCGACATAAACGAGTGATTAACGATCTTCTCAGACTGGCTATAACCAAATCGCATGTTTTTACACATCGCTAATCCCATTTCATTAAGGTGTGGGAACGATTTTGATGTTAAAATAAGAGATTGAAATACTCTCTCTCTCTCTGCCCCCGGATGTATGTGACACGTGTTAGTCAAGAGGGACAAACGTTCGTGCTGTAGTGGGAGGAGACAACCTCGCCTTCTGTCACAGTGTCAACAACCCTGTCATCATTAATCGCCCCTTGAAGGTAGAGATGAAAGAATTTTGTATAAAGTCAAATTCGTCTTATCGGGACTTTGAGAGTTTTATCATAAACCTTATTATGAATTCCCCCATATCTAGCATTTCTTTACACTTAACAAGTCATCTAATGTGAGGTTATGCGTAACGCGGTGACGGAGCGTTTTCACTTTACTTCACCTGACTTTCAATATACCTTGCAACCCAATACTGTTTGTATTTTAGAGCACTGCCTTTCGTTCTAATTTCAAAGACTCATTCTCTCCCTGAATATAAAAAATCTCTAACGGTTAAGAGGAACAGGTGAGTGTTAGGTTAGATTGAACGTGTCATTTATGTTGAGGTAGATTTGATTACTCTTTAACAACATTGAGGAATTTGCAACACAAAACGCACGACTTGTCATATCATACTAGCAGCGCTCTGAAAAGAATGCATTTTTTGGTATCCCATTATATTCCCACTTATCTTATTTCGCTCTTATCAAGAACATACAGCACTAAATTACAAAGATTTTGAATACAGACATTTGTGTTTCGACTGCTAATCAAATGGAATAAAATGCTATCTCCGAATGAAAAATAACCTGTGATCTCTGAAGGACCGTGAATCATTTAAAGCTGCCAAGTTCTCCATAGAATCGTAATACATCAAATACTTGTATTTAGTTCTCTTATCTGAATCGTTATGCTTTCGAGATAAAAGCAGTCCTTGCCCGATAAATGTTTTTCATTAAGATATAAAACATATATTATAATCCTGAAAGAATAATTCAGGATTGACGACAGCCTTTTGAAATACCCGTATGTAGGGCCTACGATGTTGATTTGAGAAAAAGTTTTCCTATTCCTCATATTAGCATCTTTGTGGGGAAATCTCTACGGTGAATAAGACACGGCATTGATTTAAACTAGGCATCAGTTGCCAAATTTAAAATCTTATCGGGCGGAATACTGTGGTTACACATCGCGTCTGTTACACAAATATCACTGGCTGTTAAAATACATCAGTCGCCTGCAGCTTGGCAAGGAGATGTGTAAAGCGTTTCTTTTTTTTTTTTTTTTTTTTTTTAGCCAAGCAATAAAAGCCATATCGGACTTAAAGGCATTTTTAAATAATCTCCTGGAATCACTGTGTGATGATAAAGGAAAGATGGCTTGTAGCAACACTTTCACTTATATAGAAAGACAGGCAGCGTGAAAATCTGTGGAAATGTGCCAAGTAGCTGGCCCCTAGGAGGATATAGTTCGCCAAAATGTTTTTCTACTCGATTAGAGTTAGACCGGTGGGTGCTACTGTCAGGCAGCGAGTATTCTAACACGACTAATTAAGTGGGATAATTTCCAAACATGCAAAAATATCCCCATCTTTATTTGTCTCCCCTCCTCCTCCCTTTTCATGGATTTACCTGTGACGCCTTTGTTCAAGATCAACGAGAGACCATTTATCATAACGAAATGCATGACATTTTAATCTACGCTGTGTTTTAAAGATAACATCCCTTTCTTTGTTACACTTACTTCGTCTATTTAAAGAGACATCGGTGACGCAGGTCATATGGAATATTTATGTGAAGATAGCAAATCTACATGGATTTTCTGACACTTATTGGAAATGCAGCGCTGCTATTTCCATAATATACCTTTAGATTATACTCACTATTTCATGTCTTAACCACTTAATAGCCGTGTCGAGATCCCTGCCTCTTGATACGAAATCATCTGGATTGCCAGAATAATCTGAAACCGCATTTTTCTCCGTATCTGTGGCTTTGTCTTTAAATATATTGAACCTCGGTGGCAGGGTGATACTGGGACTCTCCGCAGGGGGTCCGCTGTTACCGATAAAATTCTGCATTTCGTCTGAATTGAACCTCACCAATCTCGGTGATAGATGATGAAAATCGCCGTACTTATTAGGTGTGCTTTTGAAATGTTTCTCCCAGTTGGCGCTTGTTACTGATAAGTCACAATCTGTTGCTGAATTATTACACGGCGAACTACCTGTTGATCCAGCTGTCTCCACACTACTTGTGTTGCTGAGGCGAGCTATATTCCTGTTACTAACCGCGCCGTCGCTGGCATCAAAGTCAGAAAATTTCCGACTGCTTGAAAAGTCATTATTAGATTTTTCTGTGAGAAGTCTATCCTCGTCTACTGTTTCAAGGTATCCGTGGCCTTTAAACGAGATATAGTGGTGTCCTTCAAAGCATTTGTGTTCCACCAGGTTGTTGTTATTTTTAGACAGATGGGAGTCGAGGTTGTCCGGGTGGAGGTGAGGGGTTCCGTTAGTTTCCCAGTGATCTGCCGAGTCTCCGGGAAGTTTTCCGTGGAATCCCGACTCCGAGTTCTCCACACACAAACCGTTGACTCTGATAGAGGGAGATGCTAGGGGCCACTTGACGTGCTCCCCGCTTTCATAGCTCATATTATCAGTCACCCAACAGGACCACTTCAAAGGCGGCTGGATTTGTTTTCCTCGTGTCCTCGATAAAACCCCGCAGTGCTATGTCGGACCCCAGCATAAAACGTTGTCAAAGATAAAGAAAATACCGTTTTATTTTTGTCAGTTTTCTTCTCAACCCACCTGCTGCGCAGGACACACGAGGCTAAAGTGAGCGTGAATGTCAGCCTGATATCGTATACCTCCTTCCTTATTCAATGGGGCCTTCAGCGGTCATGCCTGCCTTTTATACCTGCGCTCCAAGTTCATGTTATTTTGTTATGATAACTTTTCATCGTAAGTTCCTCGCGACTCTGTAGGTAAATACGTGATGTTTAACCACCCTTCGTTTTTCTATGTAACAAAATCATGCGTAGATAATAATGGTGTTCTTTATCAACACTAAGTTCAATCATCTATGTAATACCATGTTGTCAAACATCCCGATAGTCGTGTGAAATTCTCGTGACTATTTTCTGAAAAAATTGGTAAAGGAAAAGTCTTCGTTTCACGAAGGCAGACTATACAAACAGTACAGTAATCTCCGACCGCGAAAGCATGTAATGCTATAACTGTAGTAAAAGGTCAGTGCGAATCAAAAATGCTACTAAGCTCATAAGCAAATCTGCGTTACTAAAAGTCTATTTGTTATGCGAATCACACGCACTGTCTACAGACGTGTCTTGCAATAATACGACGTGATGGACAGCTCGTTAACGGGAAACACCGTGTTGCCTCAAGCAGTCTCCATCTTCATAGCTATGAAATATGATGATGAATTACTTTCATGTTCAGATGTTTTTTGTCTGACAATGGCCATAGAAGAGAGAGACTGAGAATAGATAATGCACAAGGTCGCGAAATAAGAGCTCCTTTTTTCAACTTCTAAAGCAGATGTGACTCTTTAAAAGTCAAGCAACATGATATGAAGGGTTTCTACAGAGCATTACAAACTCAAATGTTAAAAATAAAATCCTGTTGTATATCTTTACAGGTGAATAGTTTATTTCATATAAATTAATGCTTATTCCGTTTCCACGAAAATCTTTAATAACGATCAGAAAATTTTCAATAATAATAAGCTATGTTCTTTATGACCTTAATATATTCGGTTAGCAGTTCTTTGCTAGATTGTCATCTTGCCATGGCAACTTTATAATATCCTAGATCAACTCTGAAGGAACAAAAGATTATGAAATTTCACTTTATGGCTTTAAGGTTTAGCCCCCTCACAAAGTGTCGCGTTGGACCCGCGTTTTGTTTGGTATATTTGGATAACAGCACCCCACAGCAGGTGTATATCGTGATTAAGTAAATAAATCTCATTTCTACCTACGACTCAGATATAAACAAAGATTCTGTAATTTGACGCCTTAACTTTAAAGGCAAAATGTGGGCGAGTAAACATCGATTAATTCCAGGTGACCTCTCTGTAACAATCCTCTAGAACAACCGTCAGCGAAAAAATAATGCGTAAGCACATCTAACACATTTTCTCTACAGAGCACTACCGTGAATGAAACCACGTGTACAACATCAGTAGAAGCAGGGTGGATTCCGAGGAAATCATGTTTCACAGGGAAGGCCTTGGCTTTTTATTATGCAAATTAGTGGTAAGCAATATGTTTCTATTGGCTCAAACTTCTTAATTTCCAAATCAAGGAGGCGCATTATATACATATTTCAACAACAACGTACACACAAGAGATATCGTTCGCGATGATTTCTGTCACAATGCGAAGCTGAAGAAGCTTATTGATCCTCGTTAATGTAGTAAGTTTACATATGAAAAGGACTGTGCAAGGAAGTAGAATTGTCTTATATCTACCCCTTTTTACTTTCCTTTTTTATATATCCTGTATTTTTGTGGATGTCCCATAGCACGTTTCGTACTTTTTAAGTAATGATATATTATCTTTTGTTCAAAAATTGTATTTTCACGCAACGTCAAATTCAAAGAATGTTTGAAAACCTTTGATCGACGAAAGCCAAATGAAGAAAAAACAGGGTTTTATCTGGTTAAGACACACTATTTAGATCCCGAAAAATTAATTTTCTCAACGGATTTGAATAGTGTATACTTGAAGATAAAAGGAATATTGCTGAAAGTTTCAGGAATAATAATCTTTTCCTATTTTAAGGTCTAACTCTGATTTTGTGAATAAAACTACTCCCAAAAGAAGCAAATATGAACTCCTTGTAAAGTCAACCACTTGTTGAATCCAAATAAACAATGATTCTTTAGAACTGTCATAAGAGGATCACATTTATAGAAGCCTTAGAACTGTATAGATCACTAGTGAGCATACTACAGTATCGCTGCTGGTAACTGAAGCCAAGAGAGAGGCCAGAAGTGCAATGCACCATTACTTCAGAATCTGTTGCCAAGCAACAAACCCGATCACACGCATTGTGAACGCTGATGCTGCGCGTTTTTCATTGGTTCAAAAAGCGGATGCTTTTTAATATCGAATAATGTAAAATTGCAGACAATAATGAAAGATTGAAGCCTAACAGGCTATGTTTATCTTAATTCTTAGAATATCCTTCTCTCTGAATTAGCACCTTCGTCAATGCGAGAGAGGGTTTTATACGTGTGTCATAATAAGCCGTTCCTATTTTCGTGACACACCACGTATAATTACGCTACATTGTCTTCTTAATATTGTCTTCGGCTTGTTATTGGAATCAACGGCTTCAAAAGCAGCTATATCAGTCTCGTAGGCTTACAGTAACCAAGTAGTGAAAGAGCAAGGCATGGGCTGTAACGCCAGTAAAGACACAATCCACGGAAAGAGGAACGTGTATAAAAATATGTCTCACTTGGACGTGAGGACCGATGAAGCGATTTCACCCAAATGCACCGTATGCCCTTCTGCACTCATGGATGACTCCGTCACAGATTCAATGGAAACGACGTCGTCGACATACATTCAGTCCGCGGTTCCCTCTGTTGTTGATCCCGAATCTTCGTGCGACGGCAGAAACCAAGGCCTTCATCACAACAGGATCATAAAACATTCGCACAGAGATATTAACGAAACGCATAAAGAGTGTGAGAAGAAGAAAAAACAACCCGACATGGAAAAAAGATCCAGTTTAAAGGATCGATTGATTTATTAGCAATAAATGCCGACTTAGGTTGACATGCTCTTCATACTGTGTGCACCGTTACTTCTCAGTCTGGGTAACAGACATTTTCAGACGGCGAGTTTGCACCTTTTAAAAGCAAGGAATTCAATCCACGCCTTTGTTTAAAGTAGATTTGCTACGAGAATCAACCTCTACCGAATTTAAAGATGTTCAATATATCTTGACCTTTTCTTGAAAAGAGAGAGAAGGAGAGAAATTGTATGCGGACGTTAAGAATCATGTGACAGCAAGGCTTTTAACTAAAGCAGATTATATGAAGAGAAATGGTTCGGATAAAGGAGAAAAAACTATAATTGCAAAGACATTTTTTTTTTCAAATTCAAAGAACGAAAAAGACAAACTAATCTCAGAATGTTGCACAGACCTGTGACAGATCACAGCAGGCCTTACGTCTAAAGCAGTTTATATGAAGACTAATGATACGGATGAGAGAGAGAAAAAAAAACAATTGCAAAGAAAATAACTTTTTCAAAGAACGAAAAAGACAAATCAATCTTATAATGTTGCACAAACCTGGGTGTTTGACGGATCACGATATGAATTTTCTGGATGTATATTATTGCGATTTACAACATCTTAAAATACTACAAAACTTCCTTGGTAAACCATAGAAAATTACACCCATATTCTCAGACCGGGTTTTCTTGCATTTTTTCGGGTTCTGCGGCCTTGGTTGCCAAGCAACAGTCTGAGAAGCAGGTGTCTAAATGAAATTAAAGACGTATGCATTGGTACGTCTCATACGCCTGTGAATGCTGAGTCTATATTTTATAATCATTGTGCAGGAAAATCTACTTGAAATGATAAATTTCTTATTGATTTTCTTATAATTCAATGATACGTCAGTCAACGTTTAATCATATTGTCGCAAGTAGATGGCAGAGACAAAGACATATGGTGCGTTACCTGCGCATTTTCATTTTATTCAAATATCGAATAATTGTTGTTGAATTATATTTTAATATAGAAATATTGATCGTGTCAGCCGTAATGGACTTTCAGTCAATTTTGAAAGGTTAGTTGAACACCAAATCAAGTAAATAGTGCATATACGAAGGTTTTGGTTGCTTTAGTCATAGTTTTAGATGGATGACTTAATTTCTTTCTTTTCTTTTTCTAAGATTTCACAGAATGCAAGACGTTAAAAAACACTGTGTTTAGTTTCTATAAGCTTATCAATCACCGACCACAATTTAGACTGCATACTGATATTGTATGTCCATGAATTATATAATAATAATTATAATACTTAAAATAATACTTTATTGAGCACTTCAATGTTAACAGATGCATTTTTACGGGCTCTCTACACGTTTTACAGGCTCTCTACATATATGTATAAACAAAATACATAGACATTAAATAAATAAGACACGAGGACTGGGAAATAAACTCATTATAATTCCTTCACACAGTTTTTCTGGCCTCCGTTTCAAAATTAAAATTAAAGTCCAAATACGGCGTCAGCTTTAAGACTGAGATGGTCTACTACTTGGACCCAATATACACCTGTAGACTGTAGTAGCTGTCGATTTATGAACTGTCGTTTGAAGAGGAGATGTTAGCCCTCAGTTGTCACTTTGAGACGCTGATGAATCGAAAAATCAACTTGAACGACGCTTAAAGTGCAGGTATAGTTCATCACAAGGACACAGTCAGTAAGAAATCAAAATGGAATAAATATTGGTGCGAATATAATTAAAGATATATAATATTTCATAGCACTCAATATAATCCAACTGTTGCGAGAGGAAGCAGGGTGACAAACCCAAGGACGCGATACATACTCTAATGTGCCAATATTAACCTGTGAGATATAAAAAGTGGCATTATATCAGGAAGCGTTAATCACTCAATATTGATTTGGAGGCACACAAATGAAAGCGTCAATCAAGGTATAACTGTCAAAGCATAAGATGACTTGTTGGCGAGAAAGGCGATAAATACTGAAACCGTGGCTGTAACCATCTCCTCTGTATTCACGACATAAAATCAATATATCTTGTGGAAAGGTAATGCTTCCGACAATTTTTGCATGTGCTGTTGCTTTCAAAACTGAAATAATTGACCTCGAATTAAAATATTGTCGCAAAAATAATTGACCAATGAGAGCAATCCTTCAGGAAAATAATTGGGCACAATTTGAATACATATCTAGTAAACCATATGAGTAAACCTACAAATGATGAGCATTTTTCTCCCCCCTCCCCCCTTATTCATAAATTGAACTGAACACCCATTACAGCACTTGTGTCATTCCTAAATCTGCCATATCGATATTTTTCATTATTTTTCATTTCCATTTTTGGTTCATTTTTCAGAAAATGTCTCACATTTGACCTCAGGTAACCTTTGACCTACTTTAATTGCTATATTGCTTAATAACAAATATACGTTTATTTTTTTAGTTTATCAATTAGAACTAGAAAAGCTCTCCGACAGCGCAGACCTCCGCCAAGGCAGCAAAGTCTCCACCCAATGCCGTTTCACCCCTAAATTTTCATTCTATAATGATTTAGTTTTTTATTTTTGATTATTGATTATTGATTGATTATTGATCCGGATCACCACCAAAAACTAATCATCTGTTCCTTGGCCCACTTCTGACAGTTCCTGAAAATATCATCAAAATCGGTGCATAACTTAGTTTTTTATTTTTGATTATTGATTGATTATTGATCCGGATCACCACCAAAAGCTAATCACTTCTAAATTAGCCCATTTCTGACCTACCCTGAAAATTCCATCGAAATTCATCCATAACTTTTTGAGTTATGTTGATGACAAACAAACAGGGGTGAAAACATAACCTCCTTGGCGGAGGTAACAATTGTTCAGCTAAATAAATGAGCATAATTTGTATCATAGTGCAGACATAAAAATACAGGCAACAATTTGTTACAATGTTAAAATGATTAGGATAGTGAGGTTATATAATAAAAGTGAACTTTTAATTAAAATTGTTTGGTCAAATTTCGAACAACCGATATCCTTTGTTGCCTTCTTTCTTGTTGTGAATGGGACTATGAAAGTTTGTGGTACACTGGGATGGAGGATGGCATCAACACTCGCATGTCTTTGTCTGTCTCTATGTCTTGATTGCCATTTGTAGACTTTACTGACAAAAAAGGAACACAAAAGGCCCATTCTAGAGCATAATAATCTTGAGCAGTTTTAGACATGTTTTGCTGTTGCATTAAGCCAGTATCAATGTGATGACAAGAGCATGACATGAAGCAGTAACTTGAACCACACTTATACATTTGCCATCACACTGCAATAACAGCAGAAATGTGGACTCATCTGACCTTTGTGGAAAAAGGCACTTGGACTTGAAGATACAGTTCTGGGAACCTTAACAAGTTAATTAAGAAACGTTTCACTTTTATTTAGCACTTATAAATTTAAAGACCATGCATTTGTGAGACTTGGAAATGACTTTTTAAATTTTTCCATATGAAAGAAGATCAAACTTCCTCCAATGAAATATACATAAAATATAAAATAAAATAAAAAACTGGCAAAACTTTAGAAATAAAAATTTGACAAAAAGAGATAAATCAAAAATTCTCTTGGTTGTTCTCACATGGACCTGAGCTACAAACATTACATGTAATGACTGTTTATGTGTTTTATTTTTTATCTTTGCAATTTTATTTAAAAGTATAAATTATAAAATAAGGGATAAAATTAATAAAATTTATCAAATTTTCTTTATAATCTTGAATTTTAAAAGTTTTAGAGAAAAAGAAATTTTACCTGTTGCCTTCTTCATGTAAAAAAAGTTGCACAACATGGATTTGATATGGTATACTGGTACAGTAATCAATTCATGGCAATGATATTAACAGGGTTAGGTAATCACACTCTTCCGTCTTCATTGAAATTAAGTTTTTCAAGGCACAGGTGACTCAAGGTAAAACATATGATACAATGTTAAACAGTTAAAAAATCTTAAGATTTGATCAAACAGTTTAAAAGAGTTTCATATCACTGTGTCAGCTTGCAGTTATTTTTGGTTCCTCTTTCCTGGTGGGACTGGTATTGTCCAGAATATGAATGTCCCGTTTGGGATCAAATGTCACTTTCCTTTGTCTAAATAATAATTCTTCTTCACTGTACCATTTTTCAATGTCAAAGTCAGGGAAGAAGAAATGGATCTCTTTAGCAGCAGACTCCTCAGAATCTGAAACACATCAGAGACACAGAATTACAATCATGTATTGTGATATTTTCTGGACGGCCTGACAACCTTGTGTAATCAATACTAATAATTTATGGTGTGCTTTAATACACAATTATCCTTATTATAAGAATCATGATATTTTCCAAGAAAGCTTAGCAATCTTTTTGTAATCAATGTTAATAATTCATGCTTTTCTTTAATAAACAATTAGCTTTATTCTAGTAAAATAACATATCACTCGTTTAAATCTGCATAAATTGATGACTTTGCTTCAATGTGACATCTGCAATTAATAAATCTATAACTATGTAAAAATGCATTCAATAACATGTAACTGACCATATCAATAATTCCACATAATTGTCACACCAGTCAGACATAAGTGACAGTCAATCTAAAATTGACTTCTGTTTGTACTGGTGAGATGAAAACCAATTTATGATATGATATTATATTACAAAGCTGCAGTATTCAATGATACTTATACCAAACATGGCATCACTGCATAGGGCTACTACTCTCTGACCACAGGGTGGACTAGTAGTCTGTTACAAAATTATTTTATCTCTGATACTTTAATTTTATATGCTATTTTAGAGTCTCCTGATATCAGAGAATAGCAAAGAGCCCAATAGAGGGTACTGAAGGAGACTGGATTGTGATGTCATGTGATGTCAAGTGGTGCAAGACGTGAACCCGAGTGGCCATTTTTAGCTGGAGGTGAACGGGAGTGAAGATGTGAGCTCATAGAAAAATGCAGTTTTTCCAACAACAAAGTGAGATAACTTTTTTTCTTTCGATTTTTTGGGCAGAAAATACTTGTAGAAATAATAGGTACATGATATGAAGACGTGTTACGATACCTGAGGGTGCAAAATCGTGCTCAATTTGCAGTCAATTTGTTTAGAAATATGTGCTGCATCGACCGACAGGGCGACAAAGAGTGTCAAGGGAAAAGAATTCTCGCGAGGCTCTAAATCGTTGTCATGTGGAATTGCATGTAAGTAATCTGATATGCCCATATCTAATTATTTTTGGGTGATTTATGGTATGTGCTGCAATTATACCGATGTTTTAGAGTGCTTGAAGGACCTTGTGAAAACCAGGAAGTAGTTCACGACTGACAACTGAATCACACCGAACCACGATCGCTGTGTAATAGATATTGGGTGGGGTGGGGGTGGGGAAGACATCCGTCAAATACAGCCATGTCTCCAGGCAGAGAAATGCACTCTCAAAATACACTCATTTGTTTCACTTAGTCTTTGCCAATCTCTTACCAGAGCCATGTGTACAATTTCTGGTGTCAGAGAGTCCAAACTGGCCCCGGATGCTGTCTGGGTCCTCATACTGAGTCCTGAAAATGCACAAATAAAACTTTTACCTTATTTAATTCCATAATCTGAAATCATTGACTAGGGTAAGAATTCCTTTTAATTTACAATCTTTCAAGATACATTTTTCTACCTTTTACAGATGTAAAATCAATTTCTCTTCCTCATGAATTTTATTTTTAAAATTGATAGATAACAATGTCACCTAGGGAATCAAAAGTATAGAACACAGACCTAGAATATCTGAATGAATCAACCAATCAATCAACAAAAGAACAGAGGAAAAGTAATGAAAAAAACATACTGACCTAAAGACCTTTGTGGGTCCCATGAGCTTTCTCCAACAGCTTATTGCATCTTCCCTGGCTAGGATATGTGTACTGATNGACTACAGCAAAATGCATATTAATATGTATGGCACTTGTATTTAAAATATTCAATATTTGGCAAGATTACACAATTATTATAATTAATCTTACCTTGACATAAAAGTGACAAGCCTATTATGAAAAAATCGTCCTGAAATTATCAAAAAAGTGAGCTATATTAATACATAGTTAAACCATACTTTTCATAATGGCATTGTTTATTGCATGGTTTGTTACAGAAGATATACATTTCCTGGCCTATCAAATTAAAAATTACTCAGCTCTTAAAATGCAAATATCACTATATACATGTATGCTCTAGTATTACCCTCACAAAACTCCTACCCTCATGCTCTTTGTAGAACTGTTCTGCATCTGATCTTCTCCACCTCACCATATTAGACCTCACAAAGAGGAAGTTGTTTGACAGGATTAGGTTTTTGATGTACTAAAAACAAATATACGAAAAGGATAATTTAAAAGTGTTTTGGTGAGATTGTTTAAACCGAATGTTCGCCAGAATAAAAAAATTAACAAATTAGTTTGGGGTCCTCATTGATTCCTTATACGTATTTGTAAAGCAGATGCACTGCTCAAATTACCATATAACTTAATTTAGTAAAAAAATAATCAAAATCAGATTTATGGGGAGGGGGGTATAATAGTACTGCAAAAGAGCCGAGAGACGGGAGATTGTTTTGAAACCACATCCCCCTACCTTAATGACATGGGGCTGTGCAACCGCATCTGGTTTGATTATGGCCAGTGTCAATTGAAGACGCGTTTTGGTAGTCATCTACAACTGGAACAGTATGATGCAACAAGTATTATCATTTCCAAGAAAAGAACTACCGAGTTCACGTGCGGTACATGAGTTATGTCGCCTTCTTTCCGATCTCCACTTCCGAAGATCGTATTTGCAATATTGACAAACTGAAACATTTGCATGCTCAACTATCGCATTCCACGTTTTAACAGTGGCTTTCATATTTCAAGTTCTGTAGACGAAAACCACAAAAACGTTTGATTCTGGCTCAAACCATCATATTATAACATTACCTTTAAAGTATACTGCAGACGCTGATTATGCACAATACTAATGGGAATAAGAAGCCAATACAGAGTTACTACATGAACAGGCTCTATAACCAAGGAGTTATAACAGAAGGTCTGTTATAACTCCTTGCTATAACCAATGTGTAACTGTAAAAGTGAAAAAGGAAGTAGCAAACAAATGATACAACTTGGAAGAATATTATTCGGTTTAACTTAAGCCGTTTTCCTACAAGCTCTATGAAAAAAGGGTTTTAATAACCCACTGGAAGCCTGTAATTGCCTCGGAGCTTATCCAGTAATGGGTTAACTACAGCCTTTTTCCTACTGACGCCAGGGGTATATCAGTTTGAAGACCATTTTAAACGCTGATTGGGGGTCAATATATATGTTACCCTCCGTTCAGCAGCTAGTTGCTACGGCGTCTAAACCTAGAAAATATAACCATACATAACGGGTGGTCATACCAATTTTTTTTCATTAGTCGTGCTATTTAATCATTAAAAAATAACTATGAGCTGATGTTTTCAAAATAAATTAATATCTCAAATCGTCTGTACATTTAATGATAATGTTGGATAATTTAATTGGGCATTTAAAGGTGAATGATTGACAGAAAATATCACGCCCATTTATAAAAGTGATGGAGATACGTGTATATATGACACAAAAATTACAGGCCAGTTACTTTTCTAAACTACTGGGTAAATACAGAAAAAATAGTATATTTGAGGAAACCGAGCTTAATCCAGTTAGAATGATTTCATAGGAGCTAAACTTATTGACCTATAAAATAAATTGACCACAAATTCAAATAGCGTCATATCTCCTCTTTATTAAACGCACCATGAGGTAGTTATATAAAAAACACACTCAATGAATTTTATTTCACGTACTTACATACGGGAATAGAAAAATGTGACTGACGTTCACTGGTTAAACAAAATTCTAAAAGATTCACTATGGAGAAGTGATGCATATTATTCACCGAAAGCGTTGAATTATAAATTACATATAAAAGTCATTTTAAAATTGAATCTTACCTGAATGCTAATTACGTAATTGCATTAGTAATATTTAGAACTTGTAATACCAAATTCAATTAGACGAAATTACTCCTAAACACTGGCAGATGGCGAAATATACCCAGGGAAAACGGATCATGTCTCTGATGAATTGGAAGATGAGTTTCACTATTTCTTTTACTGCTAATTAGATAATAATCTTAGGAAATGTCGGCATCAAAATGTACTTAATTAAATAAACATGAACAACTTTTCACACCTGAAAACTTTTTTTTTCAAATTTAGGTAAATTTATTTAAATAAAATCAAACAAGATTGACTTTCCGGCATAAAAACATGAAGGCTCGTTTGTTTTTATATCTGTATGTTATCCCGCCATATACCGTGAAATCAAAGGATAAACTATCTTGTATATTAAAAAAAGAAAAAAAAACGATGCTGGCTGGGCATCAAGATTAAGATCTTAATCCATACAGATAATGCCCGGAAATGATTGGGCAAGTTGGACATCGAAGACGCCTTTTGCAAACTTGAACTTTGTCAAGCTTTTGTTTTATTTTATTAAGATATCAATTTTATTAATTAATTTATTTATTTATTTTTCACGATTTCATTATCGCTAAGATAAAGACTCCGAGGAAAACGCTTGCAGGTTCCAGCCTAGGAAGACAGAAAAACTTTGAATGAAGTTTTCCATCTATTACTGGACTTAAATTTAGTTTAATTGACGGTGTTGTGTCTCTCTCTGGGAGCCTTCAGCTAAGATCTGGAAGGGAGCAACCCATGAGAGCACAGAACAACCATCTATGGGAGCCTTAACAAACAGGGGAAGGGGCAGACTTTCGCGTAATTAAGTCACAAATCTCAGATTAGTTCCACGTGTATTAGTCAAGAAGTTGTAAAGAGAACCTTCTCTTTACAATTTTTTGTATTAGTAGACCTGCTTCTGTGAAATACAACTGAGTGACTTACCTACATAGTAGAAATTTACCACTAACATGATAATGGATCTTTAGTAATTATGTTACAGCTTCTTCATTATTTTGTACTCCTCTTGTTTGAACAGGTGCGTTATCATATTCTCCGCTATGAAATTGCGTTTTATTTGTTTTGTTAATTTTGAAGTTGGTTGCATTTAGGCTTTGCTTTCCTGTTTTGCACGGTTTGTTTTAATTATAGTCTGGACTTTCGTGATGGTAGAGGGAAAACAACCTGGAGCAAATGGCATGCTGCCGTCAACATAACAGACCAGTAACCGATTTTTTCTGTTATTTATTCCCAAATACATGTCCATGAAGTGCTACATAGCGGTGAGCTTATAATATTACGGCAAAGCTGTTAGATTAATAACCAAAATGTTACTCAGACAAACCAATTTTATAAGATTTTAAGTTCCTTAGTTGTAGAAAGACGTCCAAATTCGCGATAACGCACGCAGGGAAAATTGGTAATGGCTTTTGCTGAGGAGCGCCAACATTTAAAATATGATCAAAGACATTTGGATGTTGTTGTGAATGAATGATCATGACTAAAAGAGATAAATTGGCTTTGGGTATTACAGGAAGGCTAACAATAGCGCGCTTTTTCCATTTTTTTCTCAATTAATCTTTTTTTCTTTAAAACATCAATAATTTTAGGCATGTACATTAATTGCAACCTTAAATTTTTTTCTGTCAAAAAAAAACTGCGTTGGTCGTTTAGGGAAAAAATCCCATGGCATATGCTACATTTATTTTACGAAGTTTGATGCTTGTATCCCAAAACGATAAACTGTTATCCCTAGACTAATAGTAAAAAATAATCAATTGCTGCTTAGATGTTATTGAATGATATTTGAACGTGCTTCTGAAAATTCAACAGTATTTGCCTGATCATGACTTTCACAATAATAAAACCAGATGAAATAAAACGCTGTGTGGTCATACCGCGACGTCTGCGGATGACGAAAATATTCAAATTCATGCTGGTTACGGGAGTCTACACAGTCGCCATTTATCGACGAATGATGAAACCAAACGGCAATTCTTCTTAACTCTGGCGCCGGAACTTTAGGGGAAGATTTATGGTAGTTTACCTGCATCAGATTAAACATTCAGAGCCCTTTTATATACTTTCAAGTATATATCTTTCGCAAAGTTATATTGTATGTCTCACATAAGTTGCAACGTAAAAAGGTACATGTACGAAGGTTTGTGTCACCCTTTGCCAAAAACTCCTTATTTACTGCCTTATTACATTTTTTTGTGTAATAGATAAATAAATCTTCAGTGTTCAGTGGCTAAATTAATCAACAATTACACACGTCATTTTACGGGTGACGTCATAAAATTTTGCGATTTTGGGGTAAAAAAAAATGAAAAATCGGTTTCTCAAATTTCTCCATTACCTGAGCACCCACGATCACCGTTTTAACGCCGATTTAATGACACCATTTAGTACTCCAAAACCCTGCCAGCGATTTTTCTTAGAAGGCTTAGTTAAGATTTTATCGTTGATAAAGCAAAATAATGCCTTTGTTTAATTAAAATCTGTAATTAGGGACTTATAATTCCGTAGCAAAAATATTAAAAACAAAATGAAGGCGCGGGATTGTAGCCCATACACTCGTGATCAACTCTGCCAATGTTCGTGATAAAATCTTGCTCAGGGACACAGTTACGCCCCATACCGATTGCTATCTCATAAAAAAATAGAGAGGTGTCAAATTGACGATTAAAAAAACTTTGACCCGGTGAGACAAAATGGAAGTCCTAGGAATGGAAGTCCGGGGTTCCCACATGATAAGTACAGGTTAAGGTTAGTTGGAGTATTGGGGTTAGTATATGTCACCTGTACAAAGTACTGGGAAGCGGACTACGGTTTCCAGCGGACTTTCATTCCTGTTACACCGGACTTCCATTCCTAGAACTACCATTCCTGTAAAACCGGCTACATCTTTAGACGAACGGGCCTAGGTTTAAGAGAGACAACCCACTTCGTTAATTTCAATAGTCGCATGCAATTTCAACTTTAAAGATAAAAAGAGAAAAATAAAAGAGATGCTGCAGTGACGCAGTCGTGTCTTGAGACTGCGGATGTAATCAAATGAATTCGTCAAATCCAGAATCATATCAGCCTTTCAACAAATCATCCAGGATTTAACCTGGGCATATTATAAAGACTTCCAATCGATACCTCCGCACGAGGGTAACTGCCGCCCCCCCCCCCCCAAAAAAAAAAATCATTATTATTATTATTATTATTATTATTATTATTATTAAAACATACGGAGGGGATTAATGTCGATAAATTATGATGGGCACCATCAGAGTTTTTAAGGCATTCGAATGTTCAACTACATAAGAGTTTTGTAATAAACTATAATCTTTATTAAGAAGTATTGGTTTTCTTTGAAAATTCATCATAACACCCAACAGGATTTTAACAATGCAAAATACAAAGTGGTACGTATGAGAATAGAGACTATATTCACCCATTTGGCAAGTATTATGCAGAGCCCCTAAAGTATATCTACCATTATACTAGTGCAAGCAAAGCTAAGCAGCATCCAGCTATTAATTTATCCCTTTGATCGAATTAATTTGGTTTCTAGAGAATATTAACTAAAACACAGTGTACCATACGTAATATTTCTACGTTCAAAAATTTAAACAACGTTGTGACAGGAGTGGCAGTCCTTCTCCCAGCTACTTTTCAATGATAGTCATTCCATATACCAACCCCGTTACTTTCGACTATGTCTAACCTGTATTAGGGGCCATTCAAAATAGATGATCCGAGTACTAAATAATCAGTTAGTACTCGGATCACCTATTCTGAATGGCCCCTTAATCATGAAGGACCACGGCCTTATTAAATCATGAAGGACCACGACCTTGTATAAATCATGAAGGACCACGGCCTTATTAAATCATGAAGGACCACGACCCTGTATTAATCATTAAGGACCACGGCCTTATTAAATCATGAAGGACCACGACCTTGTATAAATCATGAAGGACCACGGCCTTATTAAATCATGAAGGACCACGACCTTGTATTAATCATTAAGGACCACGGCCTTATTAAATCATGAAGGACCACGGACTTCAATTCCCAGTCCTACCATTCCTGTCACACCGTCGTAAAACATAAGGATACTACTTCTTCAAGTACACACTTTTCTGTGAAGAGAATAAATGGCCTTCGCCTCTCACGACACATTGCGTGTCGGCTAATCAGTAAAGGCAAATGTTAATAAACACATTCGGAATGTAAAGGTAATCACATTTAATTATTCAAAGACATACCTGTGAGATAATCCGTTTGACAGATTGACTCCGGTAATATTAAGCAATATATATAGAGATAATGGCTGTTATCGCTTGGAAACGTATATGGAATCATGACATATTGTGGTTTGACGTATATTCGGAATGATCTCCTTGAGAGAACTAATCTAAAATCAACATAATAATGTACACTCAAAGAGAAACGGGAAGTGAGCATTTTAAATACTGAGTTGAAATACGAAAATATGGACAAAGAGGAGAGGGAAATACAACTCCTCTACTGTATGACCCCGCCATAATAATTGGTAAATCTGATCAATTTTGTTCTAAAGTTTTCACCTGGTCACCCTCTTAATGCATACATAGATCCTAAAAACAAGACCACAACTTAATTCGAATACCTGATAAAGTAAAATAAATAAATAGAATGAATAAAACTACCTGCCAATGCGAAGCAATGGCCATGGTTACCTTAAAAATAGTACAATACTGTGATCCCTCTGAATCGGATTCGATCTACCGATCTATATTATGTCAGCAGACCATATTGTAACCGACCACGCACCCGCTGAATATGGCAAGGTCCGCTGCTGCAATAAGCATCAAATATCCAGACCGGGTTTGCCACCTTAGTCGAAACTGAAAGTCACAGGGGCAGTGACGGATTTTCCCCCAATATATGATATAATATTAACCAAACAAGCAGTGTAGAAAAATACACCCTCAAGACCCTTTCTGACTATTCGAAAGATACGAGCTGCCATCTTTCCATCTCCCGGTAGAACACACGCCCTGTCCCCGCCACCAGTCGTCCACGTTTTCATACCACGTGTGGTGGTTCTCCGCCTCGTGGACCATGGCACACAGTCTACACCAGAAATACGTGTTGATCGTCCTCATCGTTCCTTTCCATCGGAAATATTCATTATAAAGATCATCGTTCTTGTCTAGCTCGTGTAAATATTCGGCCAAAGCTTTGGGCGATTCGAAGTCGTCCACGTTGATATAGGAGTGAGGGGGCGCTACCCTTTTATAATCGTCTGGATGTGCCCCCATTGTTATGGGAAGAACGTCATGCCTGAAAAAAATATTATATTATATTATATTATATTATATTATATTATATTATATTATATTATATTATATTATTATAGTGATGCTATAAATAATCATAAATGGAAATACGAGAGGCCGCTGTCCCCATCCCCAATGTCCTGGCCCTGACAAAACTAAGACCCGTGATGACAATTTTGTTAAATTCAAAATCAAATAAAAATTTAAAGTTTAAAAATTACACAATTTCGAAAGCGGTAAGTCTTCATATGAAGACGCTAAAATACGGTTAATGAAATAAGAGATGCAGTTCGTTATATTAAGTTACCCACTGATATAATTTTTGCCTGTCACATTGACAGAATAAATGATGATGTAGTTTTAACAACGGGAATAACGAACAAAGACGTATGGCCCTAATTCATCTAAATCACTTCCATTAGAATACTTAATGAAATACTGTCACGGTCGGCGAACGTTAGTAAGGTGAGAATAAGGACACAAACATATGTAGAGTGACGTGTGTGTGTGTGTGTGTGTGTGTGTGTGCGTGTCTAGATCTGTGTTCGTGTGTGTGTGTGTGTGTGTGTGTGTGTGTGTCTGTGTGTTATTGGGGGGGGGGGGGGGGGGGGAGGGCTGAAATGCATATCAAACAATTAACAATGCATGTNGGCTAAATTAATCAACAATTACACACGTCATTTTACGGGTGACGTCATAAAATTTTGCGATTTTGGGGTAAAAAAAAATGAAAAATCGGTTTCTCAAATTTCTCCATTATCTGAGCACCCACGATCACCGTTTTAACGCCGATTTAATGACACCATTTAGTACTCCAAAACCCTGCCAGCGATTTTTCTTAGAAGGCTTAGTTAAGATTTTATCGTTGATAAAGCAAAATAATGCCTTTGTTTAATTAAAATCTGTAATTAGGGACTTATAATTCCGTAGCAAAAATATTTAAAACAAAATGAAGGCGCGGGATTGTAGCCCATACACTCGTGATCAACTCTGCCAATGTTCGTGATAAAATCTTGTTCAGGGACACAGTTACGCCCCATACCGATTGCTATCTCATAAAAAAATAGAGAGGTGTCAAATTGACGATTAAAAAAACTTTGACCCGGTGAGACAGAATGGAAGTCCTAGGAATGGAAGTCCGGGGTTCCCACATGATAAGTACAGGTTAAGGTTAGTTGGAGTATTGGGGTTAGTATATGTCACCTGTACAAAGTAATGGGAAGCGGACTACGGTTTCCAGCGGACCTTCATTCCTGTTACACCGGACTTCCATTCCTAGAACTACCATTCCTGTAAAACCGGCTACATCTTTAGACGAACGGGCCCAGGTTTAAGAGAGACAACCCACTTCGTTAATTTCAATAGTTGCATGCAATTTTAACTTTAAAGATAAGAAGAGAAAAATAAAAGAGATGCTGCAGTGACGCACTCGTGTCTTGAGACTGCGGATGTAATCAAATGAATTCGTCAAATCCAGAACCATATCAGCCTTTCAACAAATCATCCAGGATTTAACCTGGGCATATTATAAAGACTTCCAATCGATACCTCGAGGGTAACTGCACGAGGGTAACTGCCCCCCCCCCCCAAAAAAAAAAAATAAAATAAAAATAAATAAATAAATAAATAAATAATAATAATAATTATTATTATTATTATTATTAATATTATTATTATTATTATTATAACATATGGGGGGGGTTAGTGTCAATAAATTATGATGGGCACCATCAGAGTTTTTAAGGCATTCGAATGTTCAACTACATAAGAGTTTTATAATAAACTATAATCTTTATTAAGAAGTATTGGTTTTCTTTGAAAATTCATCGTAACACCCAACAGGATTTTAACAATGCAAAATACAAAGTGGTACGTATGAGTATAGAGACTATATTCACCCATTTGGCAAGTATTATGCAGAGCCCCTAAAGTATATCTACCACTATACTAGTGCAAGCAAAGCTAAGCAGCATCCAGCTATTAATTTATCCCTTTGATCGAATTAATTTGGTTTCTAGAGAATATTAACTAAAACACAGTGTACCATACGTAATATTTCTACGTTCAAAAATTTAAACAACGTTGTGACAAGAGTGGCAGTCCTTCTCCCAACTACTCTTTCGATGACAGTCGTCTCATATACTATGTCTAACCTGTATTAGGGGCCATTCAAAATAGATGATCTGAGTACTAACTAATCAGTTAGTACTCGGATCACCTATTCTGAATGGTCCCTTAGTCATGAAGGACCACGACCTTGTTGTAATCATAAAGGACCACGGCCTTGTTGTAATCATAAAGGACCACGACCTTGTATTAATCATGAAGGACCACGGCCTTGTATTAATCATAAAGGACCACGGCCTTGTATTAATCATAAAGGACCACGGCCTTGTTGTAATCATTAAGGACCACGGCCTTGTTGTAATCATAAAGGACCACGGCCTTAATTAATCATGAAAGACCACTGACTTCAATTCCCAGTCCTACCATTCCTGTCACACCGTCGTAAAACATATAAGGATACTGCTTCTTCAAGTACCCACTTTCTATGAAGAGAATAAATGACCTTCGCCTCTCACGACACATTGCGTGTCGGCTAATCAGTAAAGGCAAATGTTAATAAACACATTCGGAATGTAAAGGTAATCACATTTAATTATTCAAAGACATACCTGTGAGATAATCCGTTTGACAGATTGACTCCGATAATATTAAGCAATATATAGAGATAATGGCTGTTATCGCTTGGAAACGTATATGGAATCATGACATATTGTGGTTTGACGTATATTTGGAATGATCTCCTTGAGAGAACTAATCTAAAATCAACATAATAATGTACACTCAAAGAGAAACGGGAAGTGAGCATTTTAAATACTGAGTTGAAATATGAAAATATGGACAAAGAGGAGAGGGAAATACAACTCCTCTACTTTATGACCCCGCCATAATAATTGGTAAATCTGATCAATTTTGTTCTGAAGTTTTCATCTGGTCACCCTCTTAATGCATACAGATCCTAAAAACAAGACCACAACTTAATTCAAATACCTGATAAAGTAAAATAAATAAATAGAATGAATAAAACTACCTGCCAATGCGAAGCAATGGCCATGGTTACCTTAAAAATAGTACAATACTGTGATCCCTCTGAATCGGATTCGATCTACCGATCTATATTATGTCAGCAGACCATATTGTAACCGACCATGTACCCGCTGAATATGACAAGGTCCGCTGCTGCAATAAGCATCAAATATCCAGACCGGGTTTGCCACCTTAGTAGAAACTGAAAGTCACAGGCAGTGACGGATTTCCCCCCAATATATGATATAATATTAACCAAACAAGCAGTGTAGAAAAATACACCCTCAAGACCCTTTCTGACTATTAGAAAGATACGAGCTGCCATCTTTCCATCTCCCGGTAGAACACACGCCCTGTCCCCGCCACCAGTCGTCCACGTTTTCATACCACGTGTGGTGGTTCTCCGCCTCGTGGACCATGGCACACAGTCTACACCAGAAATACGTGTTGATCGTCCTCATCGTGCCTTTCCATCGGAAATATTCATTATAAAGATCATCGTTCTTGTCTAGCTCGTGTAAATATTCGGCCAAAGCTTTGGGCGATTCGAAGTCGTCCACGTTGATGTAGGAGTGAGGGGGCGCTACCCTTTTATAATCGTCCGGGTGTGCCCCCATTGTTATGGGAAGAACGTCATGCCTGAAAAAAATATATAACATACATGTTACTGATGCTATAAATAATCATAAATGGATATATGAGAGGCCGCTGTACCCATCCCCAATGTCCTGGCCCTGACAAAACTAAGACCCGTGATGACAATTTTGTTTAATTCAAAATCAAATAAAAATTTGAAGTTTAAAAATTACAATTTCGAAAGCGGTGAGCCTTCATATGAAGACGCTAAAATACGGATAATGAAATGAGAGATGCAGTTCGTTATATCACGTTACCCGCTGATATAATTTTTGCCTGTCACATTGACAGAAGAAATGATAATGTAGTTTTAACAACGGGAATAACGAACAAAGACGTATGGCCCTAATTCATCTAAATCACTTCCATTAGAATACTTAATGAAATACTGTCACGGTCGGCGAACGTTAGTAAGGTGAGAATAAGGACACAAACATATGTAGAGTGACGTGTGTGTGTGTGTGTGTGTGTGTGTGTGTCTAGATCTGTGTTCGTGTGTGTGTGTGTGTGTGTCTGTGTGTGTTATTGGGGGGGGGCGTGGGAGGGCTGAAATGCATATCAAACAATTAACAATGCATGTGTACCCAGGTTACATGGAAATCAATAAATATACTACAGACAGATTCAACTCTGCGTCACTTCGCTGTATATGACATGAGCACGAGATGTTCTCTTTAATACACGGTGCAGTACGCAGAGGCGGATCCAGGATCATTTGAAGGGGGGGTCCGCGGATGCAACGCTGACCCCCCCCCCCCCCCCCAAAAAAAAAATAATAATAATAAAAAAAAAATAAATAAATAAATAAAATGTAAATATGCTAAATATTTGCCTCCACTGAAAAGTATTTATGTAAAAGCTACTCAAAATGTGATTTATCCCACACAAATGTAGCAAAACAAACTTTGTGCATTAAAAAAATTAGCTAAAACCTGTTACCTAATTTATTTTTATGACAGAATACCTGTCAAGGATTATATGATATATTGGCAATACTTAATTGCTGACTGAAAATAAATCTAGCAAAAAACATGTGTGACTCTTCACAGAAAAATCATCTTAATCTATAGCATTCCTCTATCTAAACTAATTAAAAGAAACACTCATTTCAAAAACATGANATTCTAAAAGACAACTCTTGTGGAACCTACACTCAGTGCGGTCGTGTAAGAGTCATTAAAACAATATGCATTCTCAGTTGTTTGGGATGCCCCAGGCTGATATGTAAATCGACACGATAGACCAAGATATGTCTTTTTGATGATACCAGATAGTTGTAGGTTAACAAACTTTTATTTTCCAGTTGAATATACCATCACGTGACATAGACTTCAATTGTTTACATGAAATTTCAACGCAAACCTAAGGTAGACAGACCCTACACAAGACACGAAAAATCCATGTGAATGGTAAATGGTTATGACCCTGTGATATTCAACTACTATTTCATATTCAACTATATAGGGTGCTTATACATGATAACATGCATGAAATTGCAATAAATTTCACAGCCATTATATGCAGGATTCATATATTTGCAAAAATTACCACCTGCCTGGAGGGTAGATAATATCACATTAATAGGACTATAGCGTCCCTGGAAAGTGACCTCTCGACAACAACTAGTCAATATGGGGTGCCCACATGAACAATTACAATTGGCACAGCTTTACTTGCCTTTTATTGTAATTCGAATATTTTTATCACAATGTACCTCAACAATGTACCCCCTTCTCTTTAAATTTCAGACTCTGTCTTGGACCAAAAACGAAAAAAAAAAAGAGGAGAGAACGAGCGAGATGTTTCGATGCCCTATAGTTAGAACTATAATCATAGGAGAATACGAATTTACTTTACACAGCTTAAAAAGTGACGGATTTGTCGAAGCTAATAGGATCTGTATACCTTTGGAGAATAAAATGCTTTTACTATTCAAGCGTTTTAAGAAATTCCGAACTTTTTGATCCAGCTGGGTTAATGCGAAAAATCAGTACTGGGAAAGCTTTAGCCAAGCCGTCAATCTTAACTCTCTCTCTCTCTCTGGATCTTAACATGCATGCATTCGTGTATGTGTAACGCATGTATGTTCAATTTATAAATGCAATATTTGGTTGGGTTACAACATACACGCCAGATATGTTTTTGTCCTCCTCCTCTTAGATAATAAAAAAAGGAAAAAAAACTTCATTGTTTCATTTGATCCGTAAGTGTATAAAATATGTATTAAAAACAGATTAGCAGCTAAGCTGCTGCTACATTGTATGATGCTCGGCAATGCGTAGTTGCGTGACGTGCTGGATATAGACCTATGTAATTTTCGTTTCAAACAGGATTCGGACCGTAATTTTCAGGTACTAGTAAGAGTGGGTTAAAATCAGCCATGCAGCGCGTACTATTTGCATGTGATTATCTAGAACGATTATTATTATTATTATTGGCAAAATGAGCAGAACTGCGATCCTTCGGTAAAACAATATGAGGTACTTCGCCCTCATTCCGTATTGCCTGGCTCTATGTGCAGTTTGAGAAAGTCAAAGATAGTATCTAATTATAAGCGCTTGATAGCAGCAGGGGTGTTTTCTATCCAAGATGAGCACCAATTTTCTGTTAAAACGCTCTCTCTCTCTCTCTGCACATTATTTCCGCTCCAAATGAGATCCCGATCATCTTGATTCAGAGAGATTAATAGTCAGAATAGCAATGAAAGGCAGACTGCAGCATAATTCACTATGATTATGAAGTCAACATGTGTAGTTATAGTGGTTTTGACCGTAAAATCACCATAATATCACCAATTACATCCCGTTGATCGGTCGTATTAATCTCCCAGAGGATTTTATTGTCATTTTGGGGGAAAAATGTCACCGTACTTATTTTCACGTCTGTACGCTGCCACGGAACCCGAAGTTCTGTCCTAAATTCCTAAGTATGTTTTACTGGAAATATTCAGCAGTTGAAGCCCTTTTATGCATGACAGCTACGAATAAAACTCATTTTAATTGCCCACATAATACTTATATGAAAGGTATATATTACCAGTAACCGTCTTTTGCTGAAATGCGTATTTAGCTGAAGGCAATCACCATTTTTTGTGTGTGTTTTAATTGTAATTTTGTGTGCATACGGTATCGACATTTTTGCATTGTGAAATATTAGATTACAATATTGTTCAAATGCTATCGGGGGGGGGGGGGGGTATAGCTTTGTAACAATCTAACTTAGATATATTCTAGATTCTTTTATATAATTATATCAATGTTTTATTTTGCATCTGATCGAGGTTTGGGCGCTGGGTAAGCTAAAATGTGTGTGTGGGGGGGGATGAGTGTGTCTGTGCGTGAGCCATTATATGCAGGATTCATATGTGTGAGTGCGTGTGTGTGTGAGTGGGGGAGGCATCCTTAAGTGTTGACAGATAATAAACACATTTTAAGACATAACACGATTTCATACATCATAAACACGACAATGCCTTAATCAGCAGTGTACACATAATATCAGGATAGAATCGACGAGCTACAGAATAGGGAACATCTAATAACCAAGGTGATAAAACGGCCAGGCAGGTCTATTAGCAAGGCAACAGGACGTCAGTCTTAACTCCTAGAGATTTAATTCCGTTTTTCTTCTAGTGATAAAATACCGAATACTTTAAGTTGTTTTATCTGGCGGCAGTGGGTTTATCACGCAGGTAAAGAGAGTAATGGAATCAAAGGTAGTGCGAAAGCACTGATTCGTTATCTGTCAAGCATTTGCTTATCTTAGTATGCTGTATAGATAGGGCTTCCTTAAGCATTCCATATTTCAATCTACTGATGTGGGGTTTTGCCATGGAATTTAAGAAAATTATTGAAGGTTTTTGTTTGTTCCTCATTCTCCATCATTTTAATTTTCACGTATTCCTGTACTGAGGAACCGAGGAAAGCCTACCTGATTCTGATTTCTTCTACTCTTTCAAACTTATAACTTAACCGGACGTCATTTCTGTCGTATACAAAAAGATTTTTTTTAATGAAGACTATCGATTTTTTAACAAAGAGGGAGTGCAACTGTTTATACAGTCTCTACCAGGAATTCAACTGAATTCCTCTTGTAACACTTGCATGCAATTGCATTTTTCACTTCTCACGAAGCTGCCTTCGTTTTTGTTTACGACTTGGTTGGTTTTCAGAAGATAAACTTCCTACTTTGAAATGACCTTAAATAAGCTTAGACACACGAACAAAACTACCGTTCGGTGCTGCATATTATCTCTGGGAAAATCAAATACAGAAATGGAAAGGAGAGACACAGTATTCAGTATCGACTAAAAAGTCAATCATTGAGAATAATGAAACTTGATGACTGTGCATCCTCTGAGAGATACTTTTCTGTATTTCATGGTGAAAATTAGCCAGAGACATAGCACTGAGTGAGGATTTTAATGGATAACGATCAGAATGTTGATTCAAGTTTTATACATCTCTTAGCTTGCACCATCTGAGTGAGAGTGTTCATTTCATTTTCATTTCTGCGGACAGCAATGACCGCGGTAAGCTGAGAGAAAAAAAAAGCGAAACTGAAATGTCACGGGAAAGGGGAGCTTATCTGTCCAGATGACCGAGATCATAAATGCGGCGCGCAAAATGTCACGGTCCATTTTATGGTGCTCAGCTTGTAATAAAAACTGCACTGGTCCTGTGGTTAATAATTGTAAAGGGGCAAGCCATATAGCCAGATATAGTAATACATATAGAACTTAGAAACCCATAATGATGTGATGAATATGGACGTAGATAAACGAGAGCAATACGGTCGACCTGTCGATGCATTGTTTTATTTGCCAGGTTATTTATCATCCGAGCTGCACCGTGACAGAAACTAGTGCTGCTATTGTGTGGTGCATTCTATTTCTCCATGAAAGAGGAGAAATGCCACCAGATCAATAGTTGCATACAAAGGCTCACATATGAAATTCCGGTGTAAATCAAATAGCAGTGATGTAAATTTTAAGGGACTTTAGGCTGTGTTATGCTGAAATTGTTGCTGAATGTGTTGTCCCACGTACCATATGTTACATGTAGTATATATGGTGCACACAGATGTAATGGCTCAGATGTACGTGTCGTGTCAGGTACCAGAGTTACAGGTGCTTTCACTTGTTCAGTTGGACACGTCACTTTGGGGAATGTGTGTGTGTGTGTGTGTGTGTGTGTGTGTGTGTGTGTGTGTGTAGGGGGGGGGGCTTTTCGAGAGGGATGGGTAAATACTAGGTTTTCAAAAGACGGGGACTTGTTGAGGGACATGCTTTTAAGGGGAGGGTTCTTTCTAGCAGATGTACGTGGGCGTGCTTTAGGAGTGGTGTGTGATTTTTCTTGTTCTCAGCCACACCCCCCTGCAAACAAAACCTCTGCTGATTACATATGAACTTACCCAAGGCCGTTGACGTAGAATTTTTCAGTTATATAATCTCGACAGTTGGAGTTTTCAAAGGACAGGTAGAACTTGTAGTCTGTGTCCAACATTTCGAAACACTTCTTATCCGATCTGGGGCACCGTTTGTCTCCGCAGGCCCCGTATATATCGACCTGGATATATTTACCCAGTTCTTCTGCGTATTGTCTCCTGCCATTCCTAGCGCCACAGTTGGAAACGAACCAAGCCACCTTTTTTGTTTTACCTGCAGCGTAGTTCTTAGTCAGTGGCTTGCTTAAGACAGACGCGTTATAAGGCACGTAGACTTCGTATGGAGCTACGATGGTTGAGTCGTGCCTATACGTAGCTGTCCAGTTGATCATGTCCTTCATGCCCGAAAGACTAGGTGTATGCGAGGGGGATTCCAATAAAAACACTATCCATACTTGATTTGGTGGCTTTTTGTGCCAGGGCCTGGATATATGATTCATAAATAATATTGCGTCCGCATCAGCGGCGTCCTGGCGGTTGTCCGTCATATGGCACGTTTTAACGGGACACTCGTCCTTAATGAGCCTACTCTGGCCTGTAGGTACGTCCCCGGGGAGACCCGTGTACACCATCACTTTCTTTAGTTTTGTTGTTGATCCTTTGTTTTTCTTTGCTAGATCCGGGACGAAACCTAACTGAGCCACTATGCGGTCATTATCGTATTTTGGATCGTACCACACTTTCCTCACTAAATTACGACCATAGGGATTTGGACTCTTCAACATTTTTTGTATAAGGACTGAATCAAAGTCGTCTTGAGATTTGATGTTTATATCACTGTCTATTTTGTTACCCCTGTCTTCGCGTGTGTACTCATTGAGCGTCTTTTTATCTGAACCGCCTTCCTCGTCGTTCTGGAATGTTATATGATCGTGAAACTTGTGTCGTATCACTCCGTCCTCGGCGTGGTCCTGTATAAACAACCTGTCCACCTCTAATGCCCTCCATGACTCCCTCAGGTACAAGTTGACCATGACTAACACCAAGACCGTACTCAGGACCAGTACGGCCACTCTTCTAAGGTAGAACCTCATCGCAGCCCGGCTGTGCTGTGCTACACCAGTGCTGTTATCCTGTTGTCTCCATCCTCCTTGTCGCAAATGAAAAGAGAAACATATATTACTAGCTGCACGACAGGAGTGTGTCCAATGCGCATGTACATACCTTATATCGACTGCTTCCTTCGTCGCGGAGGAGTCCAATCTCTTATTCACCTGGGCTCAATAGCTGCATAATACATAGGCTACTGTTGACATGAATGGTGAAAATCGATCGACTTTGAGATTCTGCTGAATTTCTACTTACTTAATCTCCTATTATGTCATGAAAACTTGAATCTGCAAGTTTTTAAAAGTGAGGACGCCCAGGTTCCGCTGCAGACGAGAGGAGGTTGGACACCTGTATGCTTAACGACCGAAGCGTGAAATACATACTCGCAGTGACCTAATTTGGGACCTGTGTTATTTGCATAGAATGTACTGACAAATTTCATGCGCCCGGTGTTATCTGAGTAACGTGTAAGGACAGTGATCCATGCGTCACGTTTATGTTGGTAGAACGCCTTTAACGCAAAATCTCAAGTCCAAAAACCTAGATTAAATCCTTGGACTCGAAGTTCGAGTTGGCTTTTAACTTTTTAAATGATAAGTGGCCTATGTGGATGTATACCATGAAGGGATTTCACTGTGTAGGGCGTGGCCCTCGTTTCAAAAGTGAAACTTAAGTGTCGCTAAGGATTTCGACATGCTTTATAAATTGTAAGCGCTCGAATTCTAGTGATGAAAGATTTTAAGATGAATGCGATCACCCGCGGTTTAACTATATAGAATTGTCTCCAAAAACGTTTTACTATATTTCTGAACTGCCTAGTTTGATCTAGTTTCAACCGAAGATTTGGTTTATTGCGGTCTGCGGTAAAATGGCAGTCAATAGTGTCTCATGCGGTGAAGTCGTGTCTTAATTATATATGTTATCAGTAGCATGTGAAGCAGATTGTGAAGCCTATTGTGAAGCGTATATCTTAAAAGACAATATATCACTTAATTTACTGAACTGCTCAATATACTGGCGTTTAGCTTGATCATGAATAGTTTAACGTGAAAGCTAGATCCGATTAGCCTTATAACAAAATCATCCTTCCACATAAGCGTTATACAGGATTCACTGGCCAAAATGAATTTTCCTCGAGGAAAAAAGCAATTTTTTCCTATTTATAATTCATTACTAGACCCGTCTCTGGTCTTTAATTTGACGTTTTACTCTTTTTTTAAATAGATGATTAAGTTCTAAATCACTGATGGATCATTTAGAACGCTATATCTCACTGTAAATTTCAGTAGGAACTATGAGCGTCATGTGCATTTATTTGTGGGGTTTTATAGTTTTTTAATGTGGTTTTACAGGCGAATGCTCCAAATCTCCTACATCGATCATGTTTCCAATGAAGAGGTCCTTAAACAGACTGACCAAAAAAGAAAACTCCTCAACACCGTCAGAGATAGACGACTGAAGTTCTTGTGACATTCCATCAGAAAAGAGGGATTGGGGAATCTAAGCCTTAGTGGTAGAATGCCTGGCATAAGTGCCCGAGGCAGACATGGAAAGACCTTCCTTGATAATTTTTAATTAAGAACAAGACACCTTTGGTCATGGGCGAGAAATAAAACCCTTTGGCAAAATATAAACGTCAAACACCGCATCGGTGATGGCACATGAAGAAGGTCTGAAGCCATGAGAATGTTGTTTCGAAGAATCATGTTAGACCCACCGTTGTCTTAACAGTGTTATCTTTGTGCTAGTTGTGCTACCTGGTAGCCATTCGGCTCCTCTACCACATCTCAACACCATCTGTCACATAAGTGAGGGCGGCCCCTATGATATTTATTATATATTTACAAAACTGTTAAACACATGTATAGCATATGATTTGCGACACCTCGCTTCGATGTATAGCAGTAAGTGGCATACATATAGGGCCTACAAAATGTTGGCCTACTAACTTACATCCCTCCCACCCCTTGATAGCATGGCAAAGTCCCACGCTCTTGGGCCTACTTACACTTGTTCAAGAAAATCATAGATGCCGGAAAATTGAAAGAAAAGGATTGGTTTTATGAATTCTGAGATGCACTTTAGAGTCAATCTCAGGAAACATTGTTCACTAATTCGTGTGTGTGTGTGTGTGTATGTGTGTGTGTGTTTAGGGTAAGGGTGGTGGAGGTCCTGTTGCATCCCCCCCACCCACGACCAGGGGAATTTAAGACCGAGAATATTACCATTTTAATTTACGTCTAAAACAGTGAAACAGCCATGTTCTGAATGCCTTATATGTTATAACTATATACTAATGAACGTTACTTTAAACAGGTTATTTTTACTGTTGTTAGGCCTAGGCCCTAAACGAAATCGTTTGGCAGGCATAAGCAAGCAACCCCCCTTTTTCAAAGATTACACGACACAATAAACTGTACCTTACCTTTCTTCTATAAAAATAAAAGTTTTAAAACAGGTATATATAAAATGAGTGACTGCCAGAAAACTGGTATTATGGGATAGATCTTTTATCGGGATGACGTCATTAACACGAAATTCGAAAATTTTCAATTTCGCGTGCCTGATAATATTGTACTTGTTATAGAACTTGTGATTAATTTGAAAATTAACTGCAAATAAAATGTTGATATTGTGTTTTTGGACACATTGTGAAGGTTTATGATATTTTCTGTTCAAAGCAAAATAAGTGATCTTAGTTTAAAATTACCATCAATAAATAGAAATTATTGAGATAGGCCTATCTATGTTTAACTATTGGATTATTTGCAAATTATTGAGATAACTATTGGATTATTGACACAATATCCGTGACCTGAGAAAGAACAAACAGTTGCAAACATTGAAGAGTTGCAAGTTTTTATCTTGAAAAGCCTTCGGTGTGTTTCGAAATTCCAAGCAAGCTTTAAGAACTGCGTCCGTTCAGAAAAACAACCTTAAACCCTGCTATAGGCCTATTCACTTAGCCTAGACTACTAGTAGGACTGGGGGCGGTTGCCTCCTTATGGGTGGGGGTGGTGGGGGGGGGGGGGGACGCTACTTAATTAGGCCTACCAGGTTACTTCTCAAATGATATGCCTACCACGAAGGACCTGTAAAGTGGAAGTGAGTGTTGAAATTTAACTTTGAGTCAGATTTAAACTGGGTAAAATCCAGAGCGAGTTCCGTACTGGATTGTCTATAATTGTATCTAACGTCATATTGGTGACAATTGACCCAATAAATCCAATCAATCAATCAATTGAATGCACATTATGCCAGCTGCATAGGGCCTGTTACTATCACCTTACCCTGATTTGATAGTCAATGGCAAATTCGTAGACCTACATCTGTGATAATGAACTTAAGATATTGCAGTTTTTTCTTTCTTTACATATTTGTGCAAGCGGGGCAAAATTCGTTTTCCAAGGGGTTGCCAGCCCGATGTAAGAGACGCTTAGAGGCTGTAGCGACAACGCATCGATCTTCAAGGAAGTCGCACGGAAGGCGTACAGCAACTGCATTGAGACTGAAAGGGCTCCGTACGTTTACTTTTCAACCAACTACCGATCTTTCCTCAAGTGACCACTAAGTCGTGTCTGAGAATACTCGCCTTAGCCCGTAGCTGCTTACGATGTCAAAAAAAAAAAAAAAAATCGTTCGGGAAATCGTATACAATTCCCTGGCAAACGTAATCTAGGTTTTAGTCAGCATGAACGCAATTTGCAGAATAAACTAACTGCACCCAGCACAATCAGTTCTGGAACGAATAGATACGATATACACGGCAGGGCATAATCAGCCATTTGCACGATTTTCACTGATTTCACAATGTCGTGACAAAGGAGTAGTAATGATGCATAAAATACGTTATGACGCTAACGCAAATGGAATAAAACATTCAAATTATGTATCAGCAGCTACCAAAGGTTATTTCTAACACCTGTCCCAAATATTGAGGTCTTTGTTGTTTTTGGTGCTCAAGATTATAAAAATTACCGAATCGATGCCTAGTTTGAGTTTTAAAAAAGTTAATTTACCTGTTACCCATGATAAAAACGAGAAGACACTGGTTGCCCAGCGCTTCCAACACCCCGTCTGAGGAAGAAATAGTGGCATATTTTCCATCAGTCGTTGAGCACCAAGCAGAGCATGGATGGCAATAATCATGACAACGTATCAACAAGGGACCAGTAATTTTTTCACGTTATAAATTCAAACTACATTGAATTTCTCAATGGAAATTCTTTCTGGCGATTCATCCCAAGATCGATTTGGTCGTAGAGCAGAACATAAAACATGAATAAACAGACCTTAACGAATACATGTATGGCTAGCAAGTAGCGAAGAACCCTGCATATTTCCATATCTTATAAGATCGTTAATGAAGCATTTATTATTCTATACGGAGTAATTGATGGCCCCTCTTATCTAGGGAGAAAGATATATTACAATCAAGAATTTCATTTCAGGTCAGCGTCATCCCCAGTAATCTCGCGTTCACTGATATGATAGTGGCGGGGGTTTGGTCGCTGGCAAATTGCAGCGGCTGAGATTATCTGCCGATTGTGTTACCTGCCACTACTCAGCTGTGATCTAGGACATGGTATGGAGGTAGTGAGTGAGAGAGAGAGAGAGAGAGAGAGGGAGAGAGAGAGAGAGTTGGAGTTTGGGCAGTAAAGAGGGATGAAGGGACATTCAGTAATACAATAGCAGCAAAAATAAACCTCCAACGTACCTTTCTGAGAATCAGTAAAATAGAGAAAATAATTGTCGTACTTAGAGTCAATCCGAAAGAAAGACATAACCTCTGTTTCTTTTTAGTTTACCCAAAGAACTAATCCACTGCGCGCAACAATAAGTAACTTGTGAGCAATGCACATATAATATTGGTCAAATATCGAATACCCAAGACAATTATAATCTAATGTGTGCATAACGCATGCGTTGACAGGTTTCTCAGCTATAAAGTATGCTTTGCAATTACATGGGCAAATAATGTCATATGAATAAACATACTGAAGGATTATGGCACATCTGAGTGGGGAACTTTGTTTCATCTATATTATTAAAGTTCAACTTCGCTTTGATTGTCGCTGATAGAAAAATACAGATTTGCTTGCTACAAATAATCTTTTCAGCGTTAAAACAACAATAGAAAGCGGGGTTTCAGGCTTCGTATACACTAAAAATGAAACCCTTGCATTTTATTAATCACCCTGCTCCAAATCCCAAGGCAAGCTAACAATATTATTAGCTGCTCGGTTAGTGGGCATAAATTTCCACGTGTTGAAATGAACAAATGGCTGAATCATTTGAAATGGACACACATGTGCCTATAAGCTGGGAGGGCTGCAGAACCGTAGTTAGGAACAAATAGAACACACACACTGAGAAAGACCGGGCAAATTTCTCAATTTGCTCTCCCTCTTTTTATTCGCTGAAAGTTTTCCGCGAACATAGGGGAGAGTTGTAGCCGAGGCAATCTGTCAGCACGCTGCGTTACATTTCAGACATTCTCTCATCCAATTACTGCGTAATTAGGGAATGGATAAATAAACATACAAGCTTTATGATCTTTGAGGGATTTATAGCAGCAGGGGAACAGGCACGCTGCAAGTTCAGGATCCTTCTTCAGTGATCTGACAGGACTTAGGGCAGCCTCCACCGGCGGTAGGGAGCGGGACAAGAGCGGCCTAACAATGAACCGATTACTGTATCTTATAACAGGTAGGTACGCAATTCATCATTAACCTTCGGGTGAACATTTTAACTCACGTTTTCAGCCACTTTGGTGACTTGTATTTAGGAGTTTTGTGGACGGTCGTCGGGGTGGAAAGGTAACACGTTTCGGTAATTAAGGTCAGTTTGAGGTTTGATGCAGATTTGATTAGGGCACGTTTCACGTCCAGGAGAGGAGGCAGCTGCGTTTGGAAATTAACTGTGTCTGTACATATGTAAAAACAGCATAATGCATTGATTGATACACAGGTCAGTCATAGGACCGAAGCCCATGGGGTCCCGTTAGCCGTCCCGTGGAGTATACCCGCTCACTAATCCTGGAGTTCTTGTCCGCAAAATACACGACCGCCAATCAGTGTCAATCATTCCGGTTCTTCACAAAATTGTTCGTTAGATGAATTGCTGTATGACATCCGCTGCAAGTATCGTTACATTTATATTATGATTTATTACAGCATTCCTGCACTGGAACTTACCAACATCCAAAACTTGTGTGAACTTCCAAGTGAAAATAATCATTATTTTTTTCATTTGCATTTCAAGTGGAATTTTAGCTCGTTGAAGACAAAATGTGGCTATGATTTCACCAACAATCTAAATGTGTGAAATATTAGACGACGTTTGTACAAAGGCCACCGCTCTTGGACGACCTTCGAGACAACAAAAAGTGAACCACTGAAGCTACGCGCACCCACATTCTCAAGTCAGTTTGTTCTTGTGGAAAGATAAAAAATACCACTTAAAAGTGAATGGTAATAAATATTAATTAAAGTGGGATCATTGTTGAAACAGTATATTTTACTTTAAATAACAGTAAGTGTCAATACCAATTATGTACCAACATTATGATGTTATACAGACTTAGAAAATTTCACTTTTGTGTAAAGTATCAAAGACGATACAAAGTTGGAACAAGAGCCATTGTGGAAAACCTTATTTCAAATTACATCACAGCGCATTAACGCCCAGGTAAGAGCTTGTCATTTTAACCTGGAAGAGGGGAAATTGAATGAAATATGTCTACTGTACAGACACTGTTCTCAGGATTCAGGATGAAGTAGATCAGGATGGGTTCAGACGCAGTGGGATATCTGCCGAGACCAGATAGGGGCGGGGAGTTAGAAAAAAAACGAACGAAAAAGTGTTACGCCCTGTCACTCGACAGACTGAGAAGAGACGATTTAGTGGACTTCTAGAAGCCAGGAAGGCGTGGCCTTTTTATTTACAGCCATTAACGTGTCTGTCTGGCTATTTTTGTCGTCGTCGTCATTTTCAATCCTGTTGCCGTTATATCTATATTGAACCGAAAGACTGTCCATGCTGAAAATGACTTTGATAGTTCAACGCAGAATATTTCTTAAGAATTGAGAAAAATTGTTATTGGATATAGTAAATTAGGCACCTCTTTTGCTAAACATCGATTCTGAACCCTAGCTTTATTTAAATCGAGTGATGTATACATGTACAACTCCCGCGGACAATTGTTACGAAGAGGCGGCTAGATAGAAATTGTCAGTCTCTCCTCTATCAGTAACAACCATTTCTTTACTGAGAATTTTTCTAGGCAGCAGATTTATCGTCTCACTTTTTAAACCTCTCTCTCTCTTTCTCTTTTTTCCCTATTTTCGTGCCACTGTGCTTTGACTCGCCCCATTGTCCTTAAAATCATTATTCTTTGAAACAACAGACTAATTACATCTTTTAAACAATTTATTTGTATAGATACAATCTGTGCACGAAAAAAAGATGAAAAAATTCACAGGTTGCGTTGAAGGGGGTGATTCTGTGACAATGATAATATGGCGCGCTACTTCTTACACTTTTTGACCCCACATATGCGGCGAGCGTCAGATGTTTCCTCGCGCTCGTGTCAAGCATGCGTCTCCTGCATCTATAAAAAAAAATCCACCAAGAAAATGACATGTTGCTCTTTGAGACATTATACGAGACTAAATCTTTGTGGTCCCTCGGTGACGGCAGTTCTAGCTTCTAGGACTGGGCACTGGGCCGTTCCTAGTTGGATATGTTGAAGTTTATATAAAAACTTTACAGGAGAGCCCACACCAAATGAAAATGATCAAGCAAAATAACACAGACATCTGGTGTAGATGTAACTGTGTTGTGATTGAACTTATGCTCCAGAATTTTGTATTGTTTTTCGTTTCAACAAATGAAAACACTCTGTCTCTCAATGCAGCTACTGATGGCTTTGGTATGCCAGCATTATTGACAAACGAAAAACAATGTAAAATGAAGTTATGTGCATAAAAACATTTGTCGTCTTCGCCTAAAACCATATATACATCTGTATCATAGCTCTTAAATGTCAAGTTTCCTAAAATGTAACACTATATAATTAATAACAGTTGTCATGTAGGGCTATCATGAAGATGATTGATGTAATTGTAGGCCCAGTCTATATAGGAACAGGGACGTTGATTTAACGGTTGAAAATGACCAGCTGGAAAGTAAAAATATTAAAACTATGATTTCAGGCCTGTATGCAGGGGTAGGGTGGGGTGAGGTGGGGTGAGGGGTCTTTTGGTGGGAAACGCCCCACACTGAATCAAATTTTGATCCAGGTTTTATGTCATTTCATGGGCCAATAACGGTGTAAAATGTTTTTTTCAGATAAAGAATCCCCGTTTGAAATTGCTGGCTACAGGCCCAAATATGATCCATTTTAATGCTATATCAAAGTTGGGAAGTGATAAATTATTTCTCCTATAAAATAATTCAAATACTTCTTGCATTTTAGGCTTGGTTCTGGAGTTCACCAACGGCGTCCAAAAACCAATCGTTGAAGTGGATTTACAATTTGGTTTCGTGAAGGGTTACAGCCCGTACATTACATTCATAGTGCCACCAACACCATCTCGTAATAGAAAGCAATGTACCAGTCAAGCAGTGCTTCGGTTAGATTTTTCTGGGATTTACAAATACGCCAAATTCCACCTTGATTATGGAGACCGTCCTCGTCTTTGGACTCTGGATATTTCCGACTCAAAAACTGGCGACGGGTATGGAGGAGACAATGGCACAACCAGTAACATGGCAGAAACTCACATCTTCAATCGCCAACTTCGTCTCTATGGCAACAGTCTCCCAGGTTACAATCACAATACCATAAATGGAAACTTACTATTAAAAGTTGTCGACAATATTGTTAAAAAGGGTAGTAAAATTACAATAGAAATCGCTGATGAACGTGTCGATTGGATTGTTGGTAATGTTAAAGATTTTGTGGAATCTAAATATCTGTACACATTGGACGGCCAGGAGGCGGTATACGGTGAAAAGGACTACTACGTGTACGCAGGTTTTAACAGAGTGGTGGCGGGGACGTTCAGAAATGGCTCTGGGCTCTGTAGAGTTGGGATCAGTATGCACGAAGGTATATGCTTGATTTACATTTTTTTGATAACGATGTCTGTTTGTACATCTTACTATTGTCTTTCTACAACATGCCTACCAGTTTTTCTACCTTAAGTATTTAGAACTAAAAGAGCGAAGAGATTGTTTCTTGTGTGAAGCGTGCGTTCGTGCAGTCTTCAGCTACGCCCGATAGGTAGCGCATCGCTCGTCTGCACTTCTCTTTTCTTTCTGATTGTACTGGAAGAAGCACACAGCAGAAAGCAATCTTGCTTTTGATGAATGAACCGTGTTTTGAAGTCATATCGCGTTTCGTTAAACTACTCTTTAAATGCGCCTCTTCTAAATCTTTATCCAAAGACTTAATGGATCTGAACCGCAAACTGTATCTGGAATGCTGCTTCAGATTAACGTTAATAGCTCCGATAAATAAAAAAAGCGTCTTAAGTCATCTTAATAAGTATAATTTGTCGGTTCCGATTTTTCCCCGAGCTGATAAATAGATGTTTAAGATCAGGAGATTAATGCAGGAGAACCGATCGGTTACGTGTGTAAACTACTTAAAGCACAATCTTAAAACAAACGAGAAGGCATAGCTGGTCAGTGTTATTCCAGAGAGGGACATGAAGGAGATTACGTTTGACACCAAGGTGCACTAGTTTACGTGATCTGATTGACGTTTGTTTTAATGTTTGCAGATAAACACGGGGGTAATTGAGCAAGCGAGTTCAAAACTGGGGCGTCTGGCTTATGATCGCGTATAGACGTTTCTTCCCTCTCCTTTCTGTCTCTTTTGAAAGGTATTTATTGTAATGTGTCTATGGGATAAAATGAAAAACGATCTTGGTATACTACATGCCGCTCAATCATAGACGCATTGTCAAAAAGGCTTAATCTACTTTCAAGCAGCAAATCAAATGCAAGCAGCGGCTGCTTTGGCTGCGGCATGAGGCCGACGTTCTCTTTAATTTCCACTCTTGAAAAAATAGGAAAGTGTGTGTTGTACCTTATTGGCCCCTGAGAAGAGGTGAAAGTGGGAGGAGTTTGCTCAGTAAAAGACTGTCAGGCAAACAGCGCACTCAAGTTCATCGGGCGTTGAAATAATCAAGACAGAATCCGGATGCAGTTTATGAGCGGGCGAAATTATTACTAGTGAAACTGAATAGACACGCGGACCATGAAAGAATCTTTGATTTGCCAACTACGGTTAGAAGTAGAACTTTACATACCAACATGATTTGCGGGATCTTACGTGTAGAAATCGCTGCTTTTTCCATTTACAAATATTGTCAAGTGCGTGAAGCCGTCGCCTACTGGCGTGCACTCCCCCCGATCATAGCATAGCATAGCATGGTATAAAGCACGGCTCTGCTCGCTAGACTTGTTGCTCGAGTGACGACGTGAAAGGTGATCAAATGACACGGCTTTTGAAGGAGTGACTCCCTGACTTAACTTTTTACTGCTTGTACGCGGAGCTGATGCGGAGCTGTTCTTCTCTTCTTACTCCGAGCCATGAAATCTGTGTATCTGACGCGGGGAGGATATGTCAGTTTCATCCTTTTACTTTTGTCCTCGGCCTCGGTGGGCAACGCTAAAAGAAGATCGGCAAGGCGAGGTAAGAGAGGCGAAAAATAAAAGTAATTAACAATTAGTACCCCATGCTTACGCAGAAAAAAATGTGATATTTTAGAAAAGTCTACATTGCTTTAAAGGGAAAAAAGCAACCCGATGAATGTAAGGGGAAGGTGGGGAAATAATGTCTGCGCTTTCTGCTGCTGTTTTAGCAAAAAGGATGTGTAACATGTGGCAATATTTAATAACTAGCCTACTTGAATTTGTGAATAGACAAACATGCAGCGTAGGCTGATGGAATTGATTAATCCTAGGGTAAACCGGGTCATTCTAAACATTTCTAATATTCTGTCTGGCTCTGTATATTTATCTTCCCGAAGAGGAACTAATCATTCAAACGTATCCTCTAGATATTAGATTGCTATTTCCATTCTCTGTCTTATCTGGAGAGATTGATGATGTAATTAGCACTGTCTGGTGAAATGGCCCGCACTGTCTGGAAGGCATAACGAATGCTAATCCCATGTTCATTAATCATATTTCACGTATGTAAAGGGGTAAGTCTACTCAAAGCAGAGACTGACGGATAAGTGCATTCCTACGTTTCTTTGCATTTCGGACTACTGTGACTAAATATAGTATAGACTCCCTTAAATACTTTTATAAAATACAGCTTTTTGCAGGTAGGAATATAGTCATGAATTTTTAGATAGTTATGCATTTAGACGGAAAAGGGTTTAATATTTGGGGATGGGTATCACTTCTCCGTGGAGAAAATATCTGAAAGATGAACCGCTTGCAGACAAGTTGAACAGATGAAGAATTATTGTGTGAAATGAATTGTTATCACATTGATTTGAATAAATATATTGCAATTAACGAGACAAGCCTCAAATCCCCAATGATATGATAAAGACAATAATGTCCTTGAGATAAGGGAGAAAAACAGAGAGAGGTGAATAGAGAGGGAGGGATAGCCCAAGTATTAGATATTGATTGACGTGTGATTAACGTTTGATAGTTTGAACAAATCTGACCCAGGCACATTTTTTTCTTTTTATTAAAGAAGATTTGCTTGATCTCAGACGGGATTAAAGATATGATTTTTGATAGTTATTGATATGTCGGAGTTATTAAGTGCATCACACCCTTTTCTTCGCCTTTTGACGCACCGCCTCTACACAATTCGCGACTTGTGAAAAATGACATCCTAACGGGACATTTGTCAGAGTAAATAAGCATGGAAAAGCCAATCGGTGACTGCTTTTCAATAGTCGGTTTGCAAAAGGGCAAATTTATTCGGTCCGCCTGGCGTCTGCCTTTTAATAATGAACAAAATTATACTTGGAGTATAAAGGCGTGTATTCTACTGTGGTGTTAAAGAAGTCGGTGTACCTCATAATTTTCAAGCACCTTTCTTGTTGTACGTCAACAGCAAATCACTGCAACCAGATCTTCTCAATGCATTTAATCCTCATTGTTAGTTTGTGTACAAACACATGAGCTCTTGCAGACGGGGAATTGAACATTTATTTGGCTTTGAAAGGCGAGTGCCAATCTGGCAATTAAACCCGAATCATTGCTATGATTGACAACTGTAATATGCTATTACAAGCAGGCTCGGGTATCAGAGTTGGAATTTCATGCGCTCAACACCTTGTCTGCACCCAAAATAACTTTGTCCCCCTGTGATGAAAGGAAACAATGGGATTTTGCACCCAGGATCCAGGTATTTGGCAATAATCGCTGATCAAGTGCCTGATAACTAAGGCAAGTATGCGAGGGTCTTTTTTCGACATTTTTCTACCGTAGACAGAGTTGTCAGGGGATCGGAGGCTCATATAACCGACACGTACGCCCTTGTCATTTGATTCAGGACGTAAGTTGATGTATAATATGCCACGGTATCGAATTTTCGATTGTTAGTTACCACTTCTTTCTCTGTCTCTCCCCTCACTCCCCCCACCATTGTTCGCTCATTCTCTCTCTGTATCCCTCCTTTCCCCTCTTTTTCCCTCTCTCTCTCTCTCTCTCCCTCCCTTCCTCCTCCCCCCCCACCCGCTACCTCTCTCCTCCCTTCCCCATCCCTCTTTCAATGTAACAGTTTTTGCAATCAAGATTTCATGTCAGCACCCTTGTGGGGATTTCTTATTAAGCCTACACATTGTATAATAGGGGTCTAACAACAATCGAGGTCTCTTCCCTCACCGTGATTTATATGGTGGTATCTGTAAAATCAATCAGTGACAACACATTAATAATTTAATAGTCGTTTAAACTTTGATTTTAGTGCATTAATTAATTTTAGTTTTAGTGAACTGGTCATGTCCGAAAACCAAGTGTGTGATTAATTCACTTTCACGACACTTGAAACTAAATTAGGTAAAAAATGTAGTTAAAAAAGTCAGACGCCAGTTGTCGTTAGGGATCCAATGGAATCCGACAAGGTGATCTTTTAGTATTTGAATGTAGATTTCTGTCTGGATCCAGCGGTACAAGCTTACTTCAGTGGATGATATTGAAAAAAAAATGGACAGAACGTTTAGTTTTTCGTATGAAATGTAGGCCTATTTTCAAAAAAAAAAATAATAATAATAATAATAAGTTGTTCCTAAGGATGAAGAAAAAAAGTTTTATTGATAATTAGTTATGGAGATATTCTCTTAAGGAACAATAAATTAAATATAAATATTTTAAACAGGGAATAAATGCTGAGCTTAAATTCCGATATGAAATTTATGTACAAATAATGCGCAGCCTGCCAACGCCCCTCACCCAGAGCTTTCACACCAAAAATGCCTGCCGGCTTCTTCATTTTCCAATCTCCAAACGCGGAAGTGTACCGGACAAGCGCACAAATGTGAAAATGTGTAAATGAAAATCACATTGAAACTCAAGCTACGACTTTGCTACGACTGTTAGTGACATGTTACTTTCCCTAAATCAGATTGTTCTTAACTTCTTTACGTAATATGGGCAAATCATACACATGGGCGTATGAAGTGCAAGTCGTGTGTACATGAACACAAATGGTTTGATTGTCATTGGCTCCTGTTTTGGATGCCAATCTGGACTCGTATGTATAATATGGACAGTTCCCGTCTGGACTCGTATGTATGGAAGACTCACCTCTGAACTTGTATGTATGGGCGACTCACCTCTGAACTCTATGCATGGGCGACTCCCGTCTGGACTCGTATGTGTGGACTGAGGCGCTGTCAACAAAAGCTTAGTACTCATGCACTGAGCATAGCGCGGACTTAAAAGGGATAACAACGGTTCGTAAGATATCCATATTCCACAATACATACATTGTCAACAACTCATAGAAATATATTAAATTCTGTTTTACCACCAAAAGGGCAGTTACTACAATAATTCTGGAATTTGTGCTTGCCATTATATCACGTGACCTCCGTAGATGGTTACACTCAATAATAATCTATTAAGAGAATACTAACAAAAAAAAAAAAAAAAAAA